ACTTCGATCAAATAATACAATTAATATTTATATTCCATTAATACTTTTATTTATATAAATGCATTCGTGGCAAATAAATTGTATTTATTTCTAAAACATGAATAATTATGGATTTTTTCAAGCAAGGGGTAAATAATCACCACATAAATGCACAGTTTGCCTGCTATGTGTTTTTATGAACAGATGATGTCGCCAAAGTCCTTATCAATAACATTGTGCCTTTTTTCTGGAATGAAAACGGAAAAGTGATTGAGTGATTGAATGGTAAAAGGGCGACAGTATGAGTAATGCAAAGTGATTTTTTTTTCTTCATAAAACTCCTTTATTGAACTCCACACACCATAACATAAATAAATGATAATATGATAATATTTATATAAAATTATAAAATATGTAAAATAAAACAAGATTATGAATAAAACATTTTAATGTAATGAACTCATAAACAATAAATAAATAAAATAAACATAAATAAAAATGTGATTAGATTTTTTTTATCTAATCTCAAATAAATTTAAAACTAAAAATGATTACAATTAATCACATTTTATTAAAACAAATAAGTATACATAAATAATAAAGGCAAATAAGAACGCAATAGTATAACTTAAAAAAACTAAATAGGCTTATTATGAAATCATTTTTGTGGCTTATTTAGAATATTAATTTCCCCCAAAATATAAACAGTTTCTTTATTCAAGTAACTACATAGATGCCATTTACACAATAAAATGGGAAAATTTGCATGAAATTGACCAACTTTTGAAGGCTTACAGCATCTAAAAGACTTAAATGCCATAGTTATGCCATGTTCTACAGTATAAAAGGCATCTTTTTGATTTAAATTTTAAAAAATTACTTCATTGAAAGTGTCTTCCTCAGAAGTGAGCATTACAGTAACAAAAGATCCCTTTTTAGTAAACGTATTCTTTCATTAAGCAAAATAAGAAGTGTTTTTTGTATAATGAATACAAACCATTGTTGACCATTTTTATAAATCTACCAATTAATCCAATAAGCAACATGTTGTATAAATTATTAGACCAAAGACAAGATGAAAGAATAGACATGATCCACAAAGCAGAATCATCTCTGTCTCTTTAAAATACATGCAGCCTACGCCTCGAAAAGCGGCTTGTTCCGGCTTTGCCCCTTTACATCTTTCTCCTTGCCCCCTACATGAAAATAGTACCTTCTATATTCATAAACAACAATATCCTCTGTGATATTCTGTTGACACTCCGCACTGTTTCATTGTGTAACCGAGTCGTTTTCAATTTAAAGATGCTCATCTGGGGCTGAAACGAGGATGCGAGTGTCCGCGGCGGAGTGATATTTGCTCTGGATCTCATTGCTGAACGGAGCTTTCTAATTGCGAATCCTACTATGGTCATGGATTGGATGATGAATATTAATCAGGCAATCAGCAGGTTGCTTGGTAACTTTGTAGAGTATAGTGTAAAGCTAGGATTGTAGAGAATGTGTACATATACAAATTTTATGCGTAGATAAAATTTATTTTGAGGTAAAAATGGCATTGTTGTTGCATATGCTGCCCTCAGTAAACATTTCTACATTCACATTCTTTTCAGCTTAGTCCCTTTATTATTCTGGGGTCGCCACAGTGGAAGAAACCGACAATTAATCCAGCACAAATTTTACACAGCAGATGCCCATCCACCCAACACTGGGAAACACCCACACACATACGCTATTCAATTCACCTGTACTGCTGCATGTCTTGAACTGTGGGGAACACGGAGCAGCCGGAGAAAACCTATGTAAACAGAGAAACAGAGGAAGTACATGCAAACTCCACACAGAAATGACCCAGCACGACCAGCAACCTTGTTGCTGTGAGGCGGATGTGCTATCCATACCACTGTGCTGCCCCTGCCCTCAGTAACCTTTGGGTCAAATTAAGATATTTATGATTTTAATAAACACTCTAAAAAATGCTGGGTTGATAACAACCCAATTTGGGTTATTTTGGTAACCCAGCGCTGGGTAAAAAAGGGACAAAGATATAGCACACACACACACACACACACACACACACACACACACACACACACACACACACACACAATAAAAAGCAAATATACTGTATATGTAATATAAATAGGCCTAAATAAAATACAATACAAAAATAAAAAGGCATTGACTTTTCTAGAGGCAGCATAATTCATTTGAAAATATGTATTTAAAACTATTTAAAAAAAATTATATATATATATATATGCTTACCCATTTTTATTATTATTATAAATGGGTTTAAAAATAGACGATAAAACATATTTGGAAAACATTTGCTTTGTAATAAGTTGGATAATTTAAAAATTCTATACTCATTATAGTAGAACAATGTATTTATTTTTTTACATTTTAATTTGATTTAATTCAATTTGGTTAATTATTCATTCATTAATTTTCTTTTTTCTGCTTAGTCCCTTTATAAATCTATGGTTGCCACAGCAGAATGAACCGCCAACTTATCCAGCATATTTTATTAACATGTTTTAATCTATCTATCTATCTATCTATCTATCTATCTATCTATCTATCTATCTATCTATCTATCTATCTATCTATCTATCTATCTATCTAGAACATGGAAACTTCACACAGAAATGCCAACTGGCCCAACCGCGGCTCGAACCAGCAACCTTCTTGCTTTGGGGCGATTCTGCGCCACCGTTATTGCGCCACCGTGATGCCTCTGTTTGCATATTCATTTATTAAAATTATTTATAAGATTTTTTTTATGTGGCCTATTACATTTCCACATCTTTTTTAGCCTTCAGTCATGTCATTTTTTTCGAGTTGTAGTAACATTCCATGATTCATTTCACGGCAGACATGACGACATGTCACAAAGTGAAGTGCAAAGAAATGTATTTCCCCAACTCTAAATGAGGGGACTGTGCTCGTGAATATGCATTAGCAGCGCTGACGTCGCGCTGTTGTCCTCCAATGGCAGACCCCTGTCTTCTGAATATTAAGTAAGAACACTTCGCCATAGTAGTTTTGCTATATTCGCTGACGCTCATGGGAGTGTACCTGCTCATGCTGAACATGTCGCGCTGTCAGGGAATGCGCTCTCAAATCTCTGGAAATTGCACACATGATTTAATGTGATGTCCGGTCGGAATAAAAAGACGGCAAAAATTCGGGAAAAAACAAGTTCGGCATTGCTGTGAATAAAAGACTGCGATGAAGAAACTGGTGTTGATGGCGAAGTGCAAATAAACTATGGACGGTTATGATGAGACGCTGTTTCGCCTGCGGTAAGTGCAAGACGCGCGTTTAATATTGGGAAGTAGCATTGAGGATCGCTGCTGCTGTGGCGCGCGCTGCTTTCAAGATGTGCGCGAAATGATTACGCAACATCATCCCTATAATAAATACAATGATTTTCCAAACTTTTTTTCTCGCTGAAAACAAATAGTTACCCAATGCATGTGCAACAGCATGTCGCGTTGGTTTAAGTTCATTGCACAGCTGCGTAATTGCGCGAATTTTCCTTTGGAGTAATGTGCATTGCATATTTTATTACACCTTATTAGTCTTTTGATTGTAGTGTTTAATTGAATGTTTGCTCAAAGAAAACAATCAGTCGTCAATAGCTTCCCTGTTAGTTTAGAATACCTGGTTATTGCTGATGTAAGAAGAGAAAGTTCTGAATAAGTTTACGGGTGGACGGCCTGTCGGTAAAGTTGCACAACAACATCAAGCATAATTCGCGCTCAATCAGACTTCCGCGTCCAATCGATTGTACCACGTTTCGCTCATTTGATTCACCCAAAGCATTAGGTAATTGATTTTTTTTCATAATTTCCACGATCACGATGCTCACGTTTCTACACATTTTAACAAAATATTATAGAAAACACAGTATTTTAGGATGATAAACTCAAAAGTAGCCAAGTTTCAGTTTCATTATCACTACAAAGAGCACACATTTTCTGTTGTTGTCCTTAAAGGGGTTTTTATACCTAAACCTTTCTTAGAAAATGCATAATTAGAAATATGAAAACATACTCTACTTTTTAAATTAGCTAATGCAGTTTTAGGTTACTTGACAAGACATTTACAGTACTGTATATGTTCATTTGCATGCATAATCAAAATGGCAAGCAGCATAAAACAGCTGCTTTGAAGGACTCTTTTTTATTTTTAAAGAGGATTATTTATAGTTTTATTGATTCTTTCTTTGGCTCATCTTAAATATTTGTGGAAACCTTCCTTTCAATTTTAAAGTGATAATTCACCTAAAAAATAAATAAATAAATAAATAAATTCCACAAAAGAGATATTCTGAAGATCGTTGGAAACCATCGTTGACAGGAACAACAACACAAATATTGAAGTCGATGGCTGCTGCTATCTGACATTCTTGTTTGTTTTCGACAGAAGAAAGAAAGTCAGACAGGTTTGGAACAAGTGCAGGAAGTCTAAATAATAACAGAATTGTAATTTTCATGGGTGAACCATGCATTTAAAACATTGCTCACACTAAGATAAAAAGGGTTCTTTCAAGAACTTTTCACCAGATGTTATTTGGTAAAGTTTTTATGAGTGAAGTTCATGACCAATTTTTTGCGCACCATATTTTGCCATTGCAACTTTATGGAGCTTGTTCTCTGGCATGAGGTGAAACTGTACATGTGTTTAGATGTATGAAGGCAGAGGAGGTGTCTGGGGTAACAAGGACATGATGTTCCAACTTTGGGGTCACACTGACCTAAAGATACATTCACACGCACATTTGCACCCATTACCCCTCAGCATTCCTAGGGGTCAGGTTCTGGGTATGTCAGTTTACTGAAGCAAGCACTTTCCATGAAACACAAGGGACTATCCATCAGTGGAGCCAATAGCAAATATTCCTAAAGCAATAGTTTATCTAAAAAAAATTAATTCTACAATATATCTACTATGCAAGTCAATGGCTACTTTTAATCAGATTATCTTAAGAAACTCATAAAAGTTAGTACCAGAATTTAAATGTTTGGTGAACTATCCCTGTTGGATGACATGCGGGTTGAAGCGAGTATAAATCTAAATATTTATTACGATAGCTATATACACTTCAATGAGATATTTGAAGTCCAACAGTATGTATTTTCAGTTGTGCTGAATTTTAAACTAATAGCCAAACTGTAAATGAACCAGATTTAGATTAGTAAACAATGTTACAAACAATTTCCTGTTTTAAAGTTCTTCTCATTTCTGCACCCCCTGCGTCACATGGACACAAAACAGTGTTATGTGGTTTCCTGTTTATCATTGTGAACTGATCTTTCGTATTTCTGAGGTTTGCATTATGTTCCAAATGCGTGCTGGCTTCAAGCAGACCTATTTTTAGCATGTATTATTTCAAAACGCATTGTATCGTCACAGCTGCGTCATTAACAACACATCTAAACAAATTGTAAATACTGTACTATAGGCTGTTTGTACTGTAACTGTACAATTCTAAAGTAATCCTGTATTTATTATTAGGGAAAGTAAAAACAATGAAAGTACCAAACTCCCAAAGTATAACTCACGAGTAGCCACTCGCGTGACTGGTGTGAGTGGGTGGGCGTTTAAAAGACAGATTTTCCTCGAGCAGATGCTCCCGTGACCGTGAATCACTGAATCACGCCCCGAAACCCACCACCGCAACTTTCTTCTGTCCCCACGAACACGTTTTGTCACGCGCTTGGACTCCGCGACATTAAATATTAATATAGCGTGGAAATATGACTCGCGCGAGCAGAATCGAGTTACTCTGTGGATGTTTCACTCGCACGGTTACTTACACGGTGGGTATAATTTCATACATTAATATGTGCGCTGTGGCTGCCTGTCTATTTCGGGTGTTTCTTTCTTCAACGTGTTCCTAGTTAAAATGGCTCATTTAACAATAATAGAACATTTAAAAAATAATATTGAATTTAGTTTGAATATTTAGGCTATTTTGTTTACTTTTAGGCTATTTTGTTTATTATTTTTGCTTAATATTTATTTACATAATGCAATGTTATTGTACCCAACACCTTTTATAATGTTTTTAAATTTTACTTACTGAGCTGTGTTTACATTATTCTAGAATAAAATTGGCTGTTTTTCTTCTTTGTTTTTGACCGTGTTAAGAAATAAATGTACTACAGTAAAATAAAGAAGAAACCACATGGCCCCCCAGGCATGAGCCTGTCTTGACAAATGATTGATTCTCAACAGCAGTCGGGGCCCTTGTGTAATTTTGCATGGCATGGTGCTTCTGTCAGGGCATGAAGTGTCTGTGAGCTTTTCCTGGAGGATCAGACATCAGCCAATGGGGGGTCGTTCAGCAGGTGTTAGTACAGCAGCTGAAGCTGTGTGTAGTAGTATAGTAGGGGAATGAATGGTTTCTTTTACCCCTGTAATTCAACACTTTCCGACAATAGCCTTTGGTGAGGATAAAGTCCATTTTATATCTCTCACTCTCTGATTTTCCTTTTTGCCTAGGGTTTGTGAAATATGTTTAATGTGGTGTGGCTGTTGATGGCTGTTTGTAAATCACTCTTATCAGCTCCACCTTCTGTCCTGCCGGAAGTCCCTGAAGAGTAGCAGAGTTCAGAAACAAACAGGCGGATCTGGAGGAAAAGCAGAGGGAGGGTTTGAGTGAATGGAAATGTGAGGAACATGAATGAGTGCAAAATGGTTTATTCTTGGAGCTGGAGCTGAGCAGTGATGGGAGCGTGAATGATGTCAAGTGGAAAATGAGAGATTATTTTATATATATATACTAAACTAAACTAAAAACTAAAGGGGGGCTAATAATTCTGACTTCAACTGTATGTATGTATATATATATATATATATATATATATATATATATATATATATATATATATATATACATACAACAGTTCTGTCTGGATCTCGAATCTGATTGGCTGATAGCGTGATATCTTTAAGTATTACTCCGCCCACATACAGCCAGCAACAAGCAGACGTTACAGTTTGACAAATATTACTGCTGTTACACAACAAATTATACCTTTCAGGTTTTTTCAGTCGAGAATGTAGCTGTTCATATTGCAACTATGCAGTTTATGTGCAAGAATTGTGCCTATTTTAAAATATTTACAATTTCTGAGAGCTTGTCGGCGGCGGTTGACGTTGTCTATCCACAAGATGGCACCAGAACCACATAATAAGCCCTTGCTGAGCGTGTTCTCTTGAGCACGAGTTAAAAAGCTGAAAAACAAAAGCCTTGTTGTTTTTAAGGTGGACTGGATAGAGTCAATAAGAAGCTGTGAATAAAAAGCTGGATTCAGCCTTGTCCCTCCTTATCGCAAACCCAACAGCAGTCTGGTGAGAAATCTCTGTGGACGGATGGCATTTCATGTCACGTTCAGCCTTATAATCTTAAAATGTGAGCAAAATTTGCTGTTTTGTCATCACCTTAAGGGGGTCACACACCAGAAGCGCCGCTTTACATTACGCTATAGAGAATCATGCAAATACTAGCTGCTGTTAGTAACGGTTAATTAGTTACGGCTTCTGCTGTTCTGACATCAGCTGCAGATGTAAATGAATGGCGGAAGAAAGTAGTTCCTAATACAAAAGTATTATATTACGTTTTTTTTTACAAGATTGTGCCATCAAACTGTTGTATAAATGCAAAATCACACTCGTAGCAGTATGCCTTGGCTTTATATCAGCACTGGTGGGGCTTTAATATACATATACATATTAAAGGGGATAATAATTTTTTTATTTGGCTTTTATTCTAGCCAAAATAAAACAAATAAGACTTCCTCCAGAAGAAAAAAATATTATCAGACATATAATTTCTAATAAAAATAAAAAATGTAAAATTAAATGTAATCTATAATAATGCCTAAACCTAACATAACTGTAAATTATTCCAAAAACCGAGCGGATTTATAGCTTGATAAAAATGATGTAGAAGCACACAGCCCTAACTGTTAGCCTTACCTTAACATGAATTAAAAGTATCCCTTAAATCTGATTGTTTCAGGATCAACATGTTTTTCTAGGAGCATCTCCTACTTAGTGAAATCCCACTAACCTTGCTGGGTACTAGGATGTTCTGTGTGGTTAGTATCTGGCACTACCTTTTCAGAAACCCACAAAAAATTCACATGTACAATCGCATGTTAAGATTATATGTGAAATGTACACCTTATCATGTTAAACTCATAATCATGTTCCCACGTGTCCAGCCAGATATGTTCGTATGTGATCACATGAGTTTCACGTTTACACTTATTTTTACATGATTTTGTCTAGTGATTGTGCATGTGATTTTGTAGATAAAGATTGCAATAAAGGTATGCAGTTATAAATATGTAGTTACACATTTTTTCATCAACTAATACTAAAAAAAAAAAATTATTTGATATTTTTTCTCAATTAGTTTTTTTCTTTTTACATATTCAATATTTTTTTCCAATAAAAGTTTAAATACAAATAATTATATGTAGGTCTTTGGCTATTTTTTTATTTATTCACTTAACTCAAAGATCAAATGTTTAACTGTTCTGTTTTTAGAAATATTAATGGCATTTATATTAAATCTATATTAGTTTAATCGAATCAGTAATGAATAATTAAATGAAAAACAACGCTATTTATTTGTTTATTTTTTCGTAAAGTTTAAGTAATTAACAAAATAATTAGAGAAAATGTTTTTACCATTGTTGTCAACTTAACACATTTCTAATGAAAAGACCTCTCTTAATATTGCCAAAGAACATTAAATGTACACTTCCTCAGAAATCTGCCCAACATGCCTTATGGCCTGCATAAGCACTGTGTTAAAGGTTATTGTAAGATTTATCAGTAAGGAACATGTTGTTAAACTGTTAAATTGTATTGCCTGATTGGGCAGCGATGTAGAAAAATTTACCTGCCTTTGTTTTCAGACACAGCCAATGTAACCCAGTATCTTCTTGTGTTCTCAGGTGTGTTTAAGGCACCAGGGCGTGGAAGTATGCGATCTACCTGAGCGAGATTGTTCCACCTGTAGGTCACAGGATGCCGGTGCAGGCAGCTCAATGGACCGAGTTTTTATCCTGCCCTATCTGCTATAATGAGTTTGATGCCTGCAGCCACAAGCCAATCAGCCTCGGCTGCTCGCACACCGTCTGCAAGACCTGCCTCCACAAACTGCACCGCAAGGCCTGTCCTTTTGACCAGACGGCTATCAGCACTGACATTGATGTGCTGCCTGTCAACTGTGCCCTCCTGCAGCTGGTGGGGGTGCCGGTGAGTGGGGCATGCTGGGAGATTGACATTATTGCCTTTGAGTCTTTGTTTTGGTCAGGACATCCAAAAAGCCTATCTAGCTTGTGAAGCTTAAAATGCTATTTTCTATTGATTCGGTGTCTTAATCACGCATAACATTTTACAAGACATGCAATGTAATTACATAAAAAGTAATCTAACAATGAAAAAGGAGGAACAGTTCCAAATAAAAAAAAGGAGACAGAATAACAAATGTTGTTTTGATTAAGAATCAGGGTTATACCATCAAATATATACAGGTGCTGTTGATATAATTAGAATAACTTCAAAAAGTTGATTTGTTAACACAAGGAATGTGCCAGCTAAAGCTTATGTCTTGCATACGTCAGTGCGGAGTTATTTTTTGAAGCACTGACTCCAGCTGCAGTCCACTCATTGTGATTTTCCCACATATTTTTTAAATGTTTTTTTTCACAATTTTCTCCAAGGTGCGGTTATCCCTTTTGCTTTTACACCTTTTTTCTACCACATCTTTTCCTTCACTTTGCCTCTCTATTAACGTGCTTGTACACAGAGCTCTGTGACCAGCCAGCCTCTTTTGCCATGACCTTTTGTGTCTTTTCCTCCTTGTGCAAGGTGTCAGTTGTCATTTTTTTGCTGTCAAATCAGCCATCTTCCCCATGATTGTGTAGCCTACAGAACTAGACCGAGACTTTTTAAAGGCCTTTGCAGGTGTTTTAAGCTAATTTTCTGATAAGAGTGAGGCACAAGGTGTCTTCAATACTGAATCTTTTCACAATGTTCTAATTTTCTAAGATTTTGGAGTTTTCATTAGCTGTCATCAAAATCTTCAGAATTAAAATGAATAAACACTTGAAATATATCAGTCTGGGTGGAATAAATGTGTACTTAAGGGCTACTCAATAATTATCTACCTTCCTGCGAAGTTCAGCTCCAACCTTGATCAAACAGACTTGAATCAATTAAATAGGGCCTGAACAGTACTTGATAATTCCTGGCAGGTGTTGTTTGTTATGGGTTGCAACTGAAATCTGCCGCAAAGTAGATCTCCCAGAACAGGGTTGAGCACCCCTGGTATATACAGTATTATACAAGTTTCACTTCTTGAATGGAATTAGTAAAATAAATATATATGAGCAATATCACATGATTAGCAGTGCGATATGGCTGCATATCGCGACTAGTAAAAGGCATGCGTTGCGTCCCACTAGTGACGATAAACAGCCATATTGCACTGCTACAAGTGTGATATTGCGTGTATTTTATTATGTGTATGAGGATCATCAGGACTGCAGAAACCGTTGCTACTCCACAAACTTCACTTTAGATCTAGTATCTGAATGATTCTCTAGCGCAATGTCTAAAGTTATGACAAAACAGTTGATTTGCTCACATTTTAAGATTGTAAGGCTGAACACCATGAAATGCCATCAGTCTAGAGACATTTCACAGTATTTTTCTGTTGCAATCAGGATTTCACAATAATTAACCCCCAAAAAGCCAAAGCAATGCAGTCACTACCAGATTACCCTGCTGAAAAATCGTGCTTAAACCAGCCGAGGCTGGTTGGCTGGTTTTAGCTGGTCGACCAGCCTGGTTTAAGAGGGGTTTTGGCCATTTCCAGGCTGGTTTCCAGCTATTTTCACCCTGGTCTTAGCTGGTCAGGCTGGGAGATGACCAGCTAAAACCAGCTTGACCAGCCTAGCCAAGCTAGGAGTCCAGCCAAAACCAGCCTAGGCTGGTTTAAGCTGGATTTTTCAGCAGGGTACTGTTGTACACTGTTGTACTGTTGTACACGTGCAGGCATTTCTTCTTTCTTTCAGTTTATCGAACTAGTCTGCAGTAGTGAAAACAGGAGACTCATTAGAAAAAAATGATAGCCGACCAAAAAGTAACTCAGCGTTATACAAAGAGTAGCCAACACAAAATACACACACTCCTAATATGTTAGTCCCATTCCACACTCAATACACTACAATTACTATGATATACATTCAGCACTACAACATACAAAAGAAAGCGATCAACTTAGAATGTCACTTACCAGTTTTATAATGGTTTGATCAGCTATAGTTTTTAATTTTACGCTGAGTTTTTCTCCTCTAAGAGATGATGGATTATAATGCGGCCTCTGTCGCCATCTTTTGGATGGACAATGTCAACCATCTTTGCTCTGCTCAATGACAGGCTGTTGGATGCTGACATGCTGTATTTTATACATATTTTAATTATAAATATTTAAAATAGGCATTATCCTTATAAATAAACTGCATAGTTGCAATCTAAACAACTACATTGTTGCCTAAAAAAGCCTCAGAAGTACATTATGTTGTCCAACAGCTGCAATATTTGTCAAACTGTAGTGAGTTTATTGATCTGCTGTCACTCTATGTGGGCGGAGTAATACACAAGGGTGAGGAGGCTGTACGAGTGCTAATATTATAGGAATATCGCACAGCTATCAGCCAACTAGACAGAACTGTTGTATAAATATACATACATTATTTTAATACTTTATTATTTAAAAATATTTAGTACTGTCATATATGTAGTGTAAAAGTAGTGGTGTAATATGTAATACTTTTACATTAATTACAGTACATTACATGTTAAATGCAAATTTATGACATAATAGGATATCACATAAAAACACATACATCTATACTATTAGCATGCGTGCACCATTTAAAAATACAATCAAAAAAATGTAAGACTGCAAATAACCACATGCATGTAAGGGTTAGGCACCATTTTACATATTTCTTCAAACAGGTAATGGTCACTAATGGTGAACAGTGATGTCATAATGCCACATTAAAAATCAGCTTCATATCTTTCAACGTTTTTTTGTTTTCCATTTTATTTCTGCAGGTTCCTGAGGGAGAGGTTGTGAGTGTGGGCAATGCTGAAGACACGAGACATTATGAAGTGTGCAGGATGTGTGTGGAGGAGCTGGCGCTGTACCTCAAACCAGTCAGTGGAGGAAAAGGTGAGCTTGTGAAGACAGAGACGCAGGTGGATCAACATTTGATGCTTTGAGTGCTGCATTTTTGTTTAGGTTTGTGGCACAGTGAGCTCCGATTAGAATAGAGCAACATTTCCTGTTGTTCAGCGGTTGCTTGTGTTTAATCTGCATATGGTTGGAGAAACCCGCTTCGGTGAGAAAAACAAAAAACTGAAACTCCATGACCATTTTAACAACAAAAGTAATCATGCACATATCTTATATGGAATAAATGCTATAAAAGAAAGGTAGCCATTTGCAATATACAAAAAATACAAACAAAAGAAAATAAATAACAATACCACACTCATAGCACTGATGTGTCTGAATATCAGCACTTTTGTGATTTTGCTTGTAGGTAGACCCAACAGTGCTGATATAAATTCATAACACACTGCTACAAGTGTAATATTGCAGTTATACAAAAGTTCTGTCAGTATTACTCACTGCATCTGGTAATTCAAAACTATTAACCTCATAAATGCTATGTCTTATTAATAAATAACTAGTTTGAATGTAACTAGGGAAAGCAATGTATCCTTTAAGCACTGCTTATAATGCAAAAAATCTCCCCCAAAAAGTGCTACTGTACAATTTAGTTTTGGCACTTATGAAATTGGAAACTGAAATAAATGCATACTGCACTATTTGTACCGAACCTTACCACTCAGTGGAAATGAGTTATTAGAGTTCTGATCGCTAGAACATCTCAAAGCCCTCAGCCAATCAGATTTAAGAACTGCATTTTCATACATTATTGCATGTCAGTTGCTAGTGGTACTTATTACTTAGTGAATAATGTTCCGCTGGCTGCCGTGTGGACTTTGAGAATGGCTCTTTGCAAGCCAATAAAACACTTGTTCTCCATGAGCAGTAAAGCTTCAGGCCACTCATGTCCTCGGCTGCGGTGAGTGGAAAAGTCTGTTTCAGTACTCAATTGACTGTTTTATTGGAGTAATAGTAAAAGTTACTCCTCACAGTGAACTGGTGGGTGTTGAAGCTCTTAAACCGCTCATTGAAGACTTTGAGCTCATAACAGTATTCCTCCACCAAACCTCCACTATAATCTGCTCTGTGATCATAAAAAGACTTATGGGACTTTAACCCTCAGGATGTTTATCAGCTCATGGAGATCAGATCAGTTGTTGAATAGATATGGCATATTAGTGGTATTATAAGCCCTGCCCAAGAACAATAACTTATACAAACAATCAATGGCAATGTTCTGTTTATTGCATTCATTTCCTGCTGTTTTGTAATCTGTCACTTTAAATGCCCTAGCTCTTTAAGACGGCTGGATAATATGATTTTTTTCTTTTCAACATATTTCCCAAATTATGTTTAAGAGAGCAAGGAAATTTTCATAGTATGTCTGATAATATTTTTTCTTCTGGAGAAAGTCTTATTTGTCTTATTTCAGCTATTGGTTTTTAATATTTTAAAAACATTTTAAGGTCAATATTATTAGCCCCTTTAAGCTATATATTTTTTTGATAGTCTACAGCAGTGGTTACCAAACTTTTTTCATCAAGTCCCACCTTAGAAAAAAATAGTCTCTCCAAGTACCACCAAAATGAGCAGCATTGAAATACAGTAGCGTAGTTGGCCCAGTAAAGCAGCTACAACTCTGCACAGTTCAAAAACCTGGCAGATTACCTCAGAAATATAGCCTATATATAATATATGGCATATTATATACATCATTTTTAATACATTTTGAATTATATGTAGCATGTACATGACATATTTCATTCCTCCGTGTACCACTAGAAGGAAGCCCGCGTACCACTAGTGGTACACGTACCACAGTTTGAGAACCACTGGTCTACAGAACAAATCATTGTTATACAATAACTTGCCTAATTACCCTAACCTGCCTGGTTAACCTAATTAACCTAGTTAAGCCTTTAAATGTCACTTTAAGCTGTATAGAAGTGTCTTGAAAGATATCTAGTTGAATATTATTTACTGTCATCATGGCAAAGATAAAATAAATCAGTTCTTAAAAATGAGTTATTAAAACTAATATGTTTAGAAATGTGTTGAAAAAATCTGCTCTCCGTTAAACAGAAATTGGGGGAAAAATAAAATAATTCTGTATATAATAAAAGTTTAATAGATATCTTAGAAATTTATATAAAACAATAATAAAATTATTATCATTTAGTTCATCTCTGAAATAGAATAGCAATAACTAATGTATTTAAAAACAAGGATTATATGACTAAATATATATTTCTAAAACTATAAACAGCAATGTCACCTTTTTTGACTACTTTATGCCAAACAATGACAATACAGTATTAAGTTTGATTAAAAAGAATGTATTCTGTAAATTCCTACTTTTTTGAACTGCTAATGACAATTCCTTTCACAGCTTTTTTGTTTAAATATCACAAGATATCACAATACATGTTTACATTTTACATCAATGTTAGCAAACCTTAATAGAAGTTAAATGATTTCAAATAAAACATAAAGCCAAGAGCACATTCTTAGAAACCCAGTGAATTTTTGAACATTATTGCACATCTGTATACAGTATATTTATATACACGAAAACAATCACATACATATTTAATATACTGTTAAAAAAGTTGATTCAATTTTCAAATACCATTTTCTTCCAGGGTCTTTTTTTTCTCATTCTGTACTGAATTTTATTAATAAACGGTATGCCCAATAAATTAAAATACCTAAATACATGTATAGTGTTGTCTAAAAATGAATAGAACCATGTCTGTAAACCTTGGTACTTTTTTATTATTTCATGCCAAAATGCTCTAAATTACAACTTTTTTTAAATTAGATTTTAAAACAAACACATACTGTAATTATAAATTATTAATCCAAAGAAACTGAGAATTGTCTAGTGGTGTCTTTAATTAGTTTTATACCTCTATATATATATATATATATATATATATATATATATATGTCTATATGTGTGTGTATGTTGTTCTGTCCCGCACAGGTGTAATGTCGGCGAGTTCAAGTGCTCTCAGTCGGCCCATGCAGAGGAAGCTGGTGACGCTGGTGAACTGTCAGCTGGTGGAGGAAGAGGGCCGCGTGCGGGCGGTGCGGGCCTGCAGGTCTCTGGGTGAACGAACCGTCACTGAGCTCATCCTGCAGCACCAGAACCCACAGCAGCTCTCTGCAAACCTGTGGGCTGCAGTAAGGGCACGCGGGTGCCAGTTCCTTGGGCCTGGTGGGTTTCTTTATGTTAATTTTGACTTATTGTTTGTTATTTTAGCATATTTTGGGCTATTTGCAACTTTGGAAAAGTAGCTCTACTTCTGAATAAATACAGAAATATAAATACGAAGGAAAAAAATGGATTGAGAATTTAATACTTAATAATAAGTAACAAAAGACTAATATGAATAATAATGGAGTATTTAATTAAAATTCTATTATAAATTAGTAAATTAGATTAATAAAAGTTCAGATTAAATGAATAACAAATTAGACTAATATAAGTATTTATATTTAAATATATATTATAAATACAGTAATATAAGGAGACAAGTGACAATACCCTCAAGAAATTTCAAGGTCTCATACTTGAGAGCCGGGAGAATGGAAGGAGGGCCTGGAATTTAACAGTAGAGGTTGGTTGTAGGGGGTTTGCTGGGCAGTCACTCTGGTGAGCCCTTGGACTGCTGGGAATTGAAGGAATGGTCAGGAAACGGCTGATAGAAAAGGTCCCTGAAGAGGCAGAAGCAACATCTCTCTGGATTTGGCTAGAGAGGTTCGGTGGACAAACCAAACTATTGAAAGATAAACCACATCATAGAGTTGGGTGGTGGCCAGCAGGAGTAGATTCAGGATGCTGGATCTGCTGTCAAGCCCTTCCAAGGTGTCATTGGCCTAAATCGGTGAAACACCAAGGAAAGGGGGGTGCCCATCTGATGACCGCCTGTAACCACCAACCCTCATTTTGAATGTATGCCTAACTAGTGCTGAATGAAGAAAGGAGGGGGAAATTATGCCACTGGGCCACAGTTGGTGCAGGGCAGAGTACCTAGAAAGGTGGGCCAGTTGCGATTGTCCCATCATATTTTGCATAGGAGTAAAAACTGCAATAATGGAACTTAACAGTAGCTTAAAATATTTTAGTCCTAAACACTCATCATTTAAAGACAAGGGATAAATATCAACGTAAAATGTATTGTGTGTATATATATATACATTTTCCGGTTTCCTCCGGGTCCTCCGGTTTTCCCCACAGTCCAAAGACATGCAGTACAGGTGAATTGGGTAGGCTAAAATGTTTGTAGTGGATGAGTGTGAATGAGTGTGTGTGTGAATGAGTGTGTGTATGTTTCCCAGAGATGGGTTGGGGCTTAAAGGGCATCCGCTGCATAAAAAGTGCTGGATAAGTTAGCGGTTCATTCTGCTGTGGCGACCCCAGATTAATAAAGACTAAGCCGACAAGAAAATTAATGAATATACAGTTGAAGTCAAAATTATTAGACTTTTAATTTTTTCTTACTTTTTAAAATATTTCCCAAATGATGTTTAACAGAGCAAAGAAATTTTCACATTATGTCTGATAATATTATTTTCCTTATTTATTTTATTATATTTTTTTTTTCAAAAATTTTGAAAGCCAATTTAAGGACAAATTTATTAGCCCCTTTAAGCTATTTTTTTCTCAATAGTCTACAGAACAAACCATCGTTATACAATAACTTGCCTAATTACCCTAACCTGCTTATTTAACCTAATTAACCTAGTTAAGCCTTTAAATGTCACTTTAAGCTGTATAGAAGTGTCTTGAAAGATATCTAGTCAAATATTCTGTACTGTCATCATGGCAAAGATAAAATAAAACAGTTATTAGAAATGAGGTATTAAAATCTATTATGTTTAGAAATGTGTTGAACAAATCTTCTCTCTGTTAAATAGAAATTGGGGAAAAAATAAACTATAAAATAAAAAATTCTGACTTCAACTCTATATACACACATATATATGCATATATATGATTACTTACATTTAATAAATCTAACGAAAAAAATACTTAATTCTTGACCCAATAAATGAGCCTTGAGTAGTATAAATAATATTAGCAAAAATATAAGTAAGTTTCATGGCTAATGCTGATGATCCAACTGTAAGCAGTCATTAGACTTATCATCCTAACTGATAATATTGTCGATCACTACTTTACAAAAAAAGTTACAAATAACCCCAAATATTCCTGAAATGTATATAAAAAACAAAATCCAAAAGTGTGTGTTTGTGCTTGGCTGTCAGTGATGATTGCTCATAGGGCAGATTCTGAATGGGAAAACATTGATTTCCCCGTCTGATCTCATTTTGAGTTTTCGAGTCTGAGAACACCAGAGCATAACTCAATTCCTCCAGCCTGACGAGTTCACGTTGATCTCAGCTCTGACCGTATGTCTTCATCTGTGTGTATTTCAGCCATGCAGGAGGATGCTCTGAAGCTGGTGCTGTTGGCTCTGGAGGATGGATCTGCTCTGTCAAGGAAGGTTCTGGTTCTGTTTGTGGTGCAGAAACTGGAAGCGCGGTTTCCTCAGGCGTCAAAGACCAGCATAGGGCATGTGGTTCAGCTGCTGTATCGAGCCTCCTGCTTTAAGGTCAGGGCGGAAACCGTTGAGCTAAAACTGCTGATAACTTTATGGCCATTACACTCAGTGCTCCATCTCTGCCATGAATCAGGAAGAGAGTCAGGAAAAGAGTTATGAGATGTGTTAAGTGTGTCGTAACTTGATATGGTGTGGATATAAAGTGCCTGGCAATGGCAATATCTTAGAGCGCTTTTACACTGGCACTTTTGGTGTGCACTCGGGTTCATTTGACCACGGAGTTCAGTTGGTTTGTGTAATGTGAACCTGAGTCCCACTGAAAAGGATGGTCGGGGTGTGGTTCAGGGTGCAAATTACAGGGGGTTTTGACCCCTAATTAATGCTTGATCCCCCTGAAGGACATCAAATTAGAGATCTGCGCAGGACTAAATTTTGAATCCCGCTCCCGCCAGGTTTTAGCCCGAACCCAACCGCTCCTGCTTATATTCAGCATTTGTTGTCTCGCTGCCCGACCCCGCCCCATTTTCTACCCGCCGTGCCTGATCTTGCTAAAGAGCAGGGGGGAGAACAAAAACGAAATCCACCCAGCTATACAGAGTCCAGATAGCCTATAACAAGCTGTCTGTATAAACACACACACACACAAACACCAAGCGTACACACACACACAGACAAAGCTCTCTCTCTCTCTCATTCGCGCGCACACACACACACACACACACACACATACACACACACACACACACACCTCTCATTCGCGCGCGTGCCCATACACACACACACACACACACACACAGCAACGAACAAACAAGCTAAACACAGCATCGTGCTGTTTCAGTCACACACATAACGTTACATACGCGTCCTGCGCATGGACCGTCAAAATAGAGCCCATAATCTTCTTATGATACAAATACAGATTAAATAGATCTGATCATGAAAGTGTTTGTACTAACCATACTGCACATTTTTATTTATTTAACAATAACTTATATCTGCTCCCCAGTGTGAAAAATATTTTTCAACTTGAAACTGGATCAAAAATTCATCAAGAATCTGTGTGTGAAATTGAAACTTTGGACACTCAACCTTTAGCAGTTGTTCAGTTAACAATATTTTTTTCTCTTATGTTCCTGCTCTCAGCTGTTTCTACCATTTGCTGATGGTAAAAAATAAATAACTGAAGTGACCTTTAATTAGTATTTTGCACTTTAAAAATATATTTTTGTTTATTCAATTAATATATTTTCGGGATCTTAATATTCATTCTTTAATTTTTTAATATATATTCTTATGTAAAAGGTTCACATTTATGCAACCAATATTTAATAAATTAGTTGTTTTTTCCCATACTTACTGTTGCTGACTTTTGTTTTCAGTTTGATGTAGCTGTTCATACATTCCACTCAACGCAATAGGTAAAAGTAAAGTATTCATGATTTGAGCTGATATCGGATTTATATCGGTATAGGTTCATACTAAAGGCTGCAATATCGGCATCGTATCGGAAGTTAAAATGTTGTATCGGGACACCCCTAGTTTATGCAAAAAAAAAAAAAAAAAAAACATGTAAAAAACAAATGTCCGATTTTTGAGTGTACCAGTGAACAAAAGAGTCTCCATGACTTCCAACATATTTCTGGTCATTCCTGAAATTTTGGCTGTGTGAAATTTGCTTGTCTTGTTGTTTTTATCAGAATAGCTTGTACAGTCTATACCCTCTTCTGTAAATCATTTGCATTTAAAGGCATACACCAAAATTGTTCTTTTGCTCATACAGATGTTTATTTGTCAAGTTATAATAAAATTATGTGGGGTTTTTCTAGCTGAAATTTTACAGATGATGCTTATCCTACCCTATGATTTTGATTAGACAACTACTGTAATTTAAATTAATTTATAATTTACTAGATTAAAAAAAAAAGCATTGCTCCAGGAATCTTATGGAATCCTTCTTAGCTTGATTTACCATGCCGCCTTATGAAATCAATCACCTTAATAAGATCATTTACATCAAATGCCAATCAGCTGATTTTGATGCAAACTATAGAGCTTTGTGCTAAGCGTGTACATGCATTTCTGTCCATCTTTTTTCAGGTGACCAAACGTGATGAAGACTCGTCACTTATGCAGCTCAAAGAAGAGTTTCGCACGTATGAAGCCCTGCGGCGAGAACACGATGCTCAGATTGTTCACATCGCGATGGAAGCAGGACTGCGCATTTCACCTGAGCAGTGGTCATCTCTGCTGTACGGCGACCTCACGCACAAATCTCACATGCAGTCCATCATAGATAAGGTACTCTATGTGTGTTGCACCTACTCATCGTAACTTATATGTAGTACACTCTAAAAAATGATTAGTTGGCTTAAAAAAAATAGAGTTAACTCGATATGTTATAATTATTAAGTAAACAAACTATTAGGGATGCAACGGTTCAATCTACTCACGGTTCGGTATTTATCACGGCTTTAGGGTTTTGTTACGGTATGGTATGTGCTATGCTTAGAAAAAAATGGCTACAAATTTTTTTTAAAACAATAGACACTTATTGGGTAACAAACACCTGACAATGTAACAGCTTCACACATATGCCTGTAGATGTGCATGTTACTATATGTTCAAATAAATTGCTTAAGAAGTTAGAGAAAAAGCTTAAATTTCCCCTTTTTCTATTGTACATCTGGACTCAACAGTCTCAACCAATTATGCAGATAATAATTATGTCAACACATCTTAAGAATTGAGCACTTTTGAAGTATTGATTACTTTTGTTTACATTATGCTTGCATTACCAAGGCAATAATGTATTTTTATTTATGATTTTTTATGATTTTAATATGATTCCAGAGAGCTCTGTTTCACATATCAGCACCATCATAGTGAATAAAACTTAAGCAAAGAGAGATCGGTCGGCTCTTCTCTCTTAATTCAGCAGGAACAGTCAGTCGAGAAGAAAACTGTTCAAGCAGACAGCGGGTGAATAGCGGGAATGATCGGGTGCAAAAGAACACCCAGCAGGAGCGGGACTGAAGTAACAGTATGTCCGCGTTTGTATTAGGCATGGGCCGGAATAAGATTCTGACAGTATGATAAACTTGGATAAAAATATCACGGTTTCTTTGTATTGTGATTACTGTTCTAAAATATATTCTTTCAAAATGTCTGGGTAAAAAACTAAAACTTTTTCCCTTTGAACACAACATATTTTATTTTGAAATACTTTTAAAATATTTTGGAACTGTAAACATGTCAGACTATTGGAATTACAGACTATAGGATTATGGACTTCTGCTGTGTTCATTTGTTTCAAAAACAGAGTTTTTTTACAATTTAAAATGGCATCTTTGGACATCTTTTCTGCTGGAGATGCTGTTGTTCTAAAAAAAAAAAAGTATATAAAAAAATTGTACAAATACCTTAGGAACGGTATTGCAGAAAAGTTTGACCGCTTTAAAAACTTGCCCTTTCCAAACCAAGGTATACCTTGATAACGGTTATCGTCCGAAGCCTAGTTTGTATAGGACGCTTCTGGATCTTCTACAGGCTTGATCCGCCTGTTAGTGATCGAGGCTATCTTTGCAACAACCACTAAAAAACAGCATTCGTTATGATTTTGTGTCTGTCTGGATTTACATTGAGTGTCTGACAGCAACGCGCTGTGATTAGGCCTCACCTGCGCATTTGCGCTGTATCTCCTTCACTTGCCTGAAACCCTCAGAAACATCGACCTATGAGGAAATGTGATGTCAACAACAGATTTACATACTAAGAGGTGATTGGACAGGTCTTCGCATGTTGCATGGATGTGAAAGGTAAGGCGGAATTGCTTTGTTGCAGTTGTTTTTATTAACAAACCAATATTAATAATGCAAATTCTGAATTGCGGATATCAGCGCTCACCGAACTGTGGGAGGACAACGGGACAATAGTTTTTTCGTTAACCAAGAACCGTTGCATCCTTACAAACTACGCGCATGATGATAAAAGTTAAGTTAAATCAATGGGTTTACTGTCATACTGTTGTTGCTTTTAAGGCCACCGGTTTCCTTTCTTTTTTTAAAGTAACTAATCGCTTTTTACAGTGTACAATACTCTCTGGTAAAGGTTAATAGCTTCCTTTATTTAAGTTTAAAGTTTAAAGATATATAAATCAGGCATAAAGTTATATAAAAAATTATATAAAAAATTATAAAAAGTTATAAAAAAAATTGTTATAGAAACCAGAAAGTTAATCCTGCTCCCATTTTATAGCTGAGAAAGCAGATATAAATTCATGTTCATTAACAAAAAAATGAATGTCAGGGTTCTGCCATTCTGGTCATGTAAATTCTTGTTTTGGTGGCAGAATCAGGACACTAGTCATGTCTAATCCTGTCATGTTGTGCTCGGCTCAAGAGCACTTGTTTCTGTCATTGTGTGTGTCTCCGTGTGTGCGCGTGCCTTAATGCGGCCGCGCGTGCTCTGCGTCCCTCCGACGCGCGCGCGCGCTCTTGTACTCGTGTTTATTTTTGTCTGTCTGCAGCGTGGTGCTTCATTCCCAGCATCTCAGTCTTGTTGGTTTCGGTTTTGGTTGGCGCTGGGATGAAGCATGCACACTGCGTGTGTGAGCGCACGGTGAGTGTTTTCATTCATTGTGTGCTCGTGTCTTGCGTCTGTCAAAGCACGTGGCTATGTGTTTACATTGTGGTCACGTGCTTTTGTCGTGTGCTTCAGTGTTGTGCTTGTCTTGTCTTGAACATGCGGTTAATGAGTTCTCTCATTGGCTGCATGTTCTTGTCCTGTTTTATGTGAGCGCATGGCTTGTGTTGTCTCTCTGTGTCATGCGCTTTCCCGTCTATTGTCTAGTCCCACCCTCCTTGTTAACTCATTATTAGTTTGTCATGTTCACCTGTGTGTCAATTTACTTTTTACTTTATAATCATGTTTTCAGTCCTGTGCCAGTTCGTCGTCGTTATTTCCATGTCCTGTGCTATCCAGTCCTGTTTGTCCTGCCAGCCCATCCAAGTTTATTTGAGTGTTTGTTTTGTAGTTATGTTTTTCCCCCTCGGGGTGGTTTTTGTTGTCCTTTTTGTTTTATTTTTATTAATAAATACCATCTTATGTTGCATTTGAGTCCTCGCTCCCTCATCCTTCCTGAAACCCTGACAAGGAATGCCTGTAAAAAATTAAAAATGAGAACAACCTCATTTTTACCATTGGAAATCAATAGTATTATATGATACAACTGATAAAACAAATTGGTAAGACTTTTGGTAAGAATTATGGTCCCTATTGGACATTTTGTTGACTAAAGGTTGCAACTACATGCCAATTGCTTCTTGTTTGAGTTATAGTAGACTGTCTGCTTAATATCTGTTAATACTGCTTCTTCAACAGACATTTAACTGACTATTAGAAACTTTGCAAGTACATGTCAACTTACACTAACCCTAACCTTAACCTAACAGCCTAATGTAATATAATCTAATGAGAATTCAAGACTTCACACTTAGCTGATGATTGATTATAAGCAAGTTTGACATACTTTCCCGGAAGAAATCCCTGAGCCCAAAAGGTCCTTAAGCCCTGGGCTCCATCCCGTTTGCAGGGCAAGGGGGGAGCCTTGAGGTAGATCTCGACAACTCCCCCCTTGATAAGAGCTGATGACTAAAATGAATGCTATGAAGAGATATGCTGCAGGATGAGAGTTTGACTGTAGTGCTAAATTTAGGTTGATCAATTCACATGTAGTGCATGCTTTTGGAATGTGGGGGGAAACCGGAGAACTCAGGGAAAACCCACACGAGCACGGGAAGAACATGCAAACTACGCACAGAAATGGCCTGTTAAAGGACTAGAACCGGTGACATTCTTGCTGTGAGGCAACAGTGCTAACCACTGGGCCACCATGCGGCCCTATGAAGGGAAAGGTGGAGAAGTAGGGGTGGAAGGGGGGATTCTTCAAATCGAAGATGGCTGTAGTGAGAAACCCTGGCTCTTTATAGTGGGTTAGGACTGGCCTGAGTGGTGGATCATACGTAGCTAATGCAGAACCAGCTGTGTTCAGTCATAATCACGTGATCCTCTCGAAATTAGTTTATAAATAAACTTCACTTAGTTGGCATTTAGATGCAATGTAACATAAATTCTACAAAATGCGTTAAAGGGACCATCAAAATAAAGTGATACCCAAAAAATCTGATAAAAATAACAAATGTAATTTCTGCATTCAGCAATTTAGTTAAGGAGAGAATAAAAATGTAAAAAGTAAATGGTAAATTCTATGTTAGCACTCAGTTAAGGTTAATAAACTTCAGCTCATACGTTTATTGTACTTAAAACTGAAATTTAGTGTACAATGTTTCTTTGGGGTAATATAAAAATAGCAAACCTAAACTTTTTGAAAACTGATGTTGTCATCATGAGCCGTGAAAAAAGCAGTGCATGATGGGCATCGCATAATCAAAAATTGCTATCATCCTTTTTATTAATTTAGGTTTTTTTTAAAGAATCATTGAGTATGTTTACATGGACACCAATCATAATAGTTTTAATTAGATCAAGACAATACTCTGATTAAGAGTCTACCATGTAAACAGCGATTTTTGATTAATTTAATCCGACTAAAGTCATAATCGAACTAAAGAGAAATCGAATTAAGACGTAGAGAATGCAGATTTTAGTCGCATTATTGAAGTGCAGTACAGACATGTAAACACAGCAATCAAACTATTACCGCCATGTAGGATTTTCGCTGCATTTTGCGACAGGATATTCCATACACACTCGGCTGTTTGACACTATTCTCTGCACCTGTCGAGTTAATGAAGGGCCACAGACATTAATTGCAGCGCTTTTTTTCCCATACGGCGTGTGGTATCAAACTCCATTTGAACAACACACGTCCAGCAGTTTATTCTCGCATCCAATATCTCGTTTGTCACGGGGAGCTTGCATGAAATGTTCCTGAATGAAAGTGAAAGTGCCAAATTGCAATTAGGTTCAACAAATCAAAAGAAACATCTGAAATTACATGAAACTTGGTAGGAAATGTGGATAGCCTGGTGACGCAAGGATGTTAATCGAATTATGTGCTATAACATGTAAAGAGGGATCATGAAAGGAACATTTGAAAAGCAACTCATGTAAACACCTTAATCATATTATTGTCTCATTCAGATTAATGCAAATAATTTAATTACTGATGTCCATGTAAGTGAAGTTATTGTAAACATAAACCACAAGTAAAATATACTTGGAATAAGTTCAAAGTGTCTACAATTACCTTTTTAAGTTTTGTTCTTGCTTGTACTAAACTCAAAAATTATATTTGCTGCTTGTTTAAATTACTTAAATTGAGTTGAAACAACACAATTCTTAAGGGTTTTTTGTGGACAACGTAATTCTTTTATGTTCAATCCACTTAAATTTGTAAAAACGATTAAGTTAACTCAATCGATTTGTGTTGGGACAACATAACAAAACTGAGAGAAACCCAGGATTTTAAAGTGTAAATTATTTAATTTGGAAATCACTTTTTTTGTATTATTTTCTTAATCGCATTATAATTTTTATCTCTGTGCAAGAAAGTAAATAGTTCTAGACTTTTTTTAGAACATGTTTTGGCTCTCATCTTTAAATCTGACTGCTTTTGTCCTTTTCCACTCCAGCTTCAGTCCCCAGAATCCTTTGCGAAGAGCGTGCAGGAGCTCACCATAATCCTGCAGAGAACAGGAGACCCAGCCAACCTGAACAGCCTCAGAGCTCCTCTCGAGCTGCTGGCCGGCATCGACCACAACCCTGGTGAGCTCTTACACCTCCACAAACACCATGAGATAATATCATTGGAAATAACCGCTATTTGTGTGTGTGTGTGTGTAGATGCAGCTGCTCCATCTTGGCCAGAGCTTGAGAGTGTGTTACTAGCCGTGAAGGTTGTTGTCCATGGGCTTGTGGAGTTCATCCAAAATTTTAGCAAAAAGAGCAATGAAAGCCCTCAGGTATTGCTTCAGGATCTGCTGAATACATTCATTCCATATTACTTTAATTATAGATGTCAGAAATGCTAAATGTTTTATTGTGATGTAAATGTAATAGGGGTTTTCAAGAAGATTGACATTGTTTAATGTAGTATGTGACAGATCTAGCTGTTTATTATACCCTTGATTTCACACAATTATTTATTGCTAATTTTGCAGTATTGCTAATCGGATGGTCTGTTAAAATATTCAACATTTTTAAATTTGAAAAACATATACATCATATGATGTATTTATTCAGTGGTCATCAATATTAGACCTAAAACGTATGAAGCACAGTTGAAGTCAGAATTATTAGCCCCCCTGAATTATATGCCCCTCTGTTTATTTTTCCCCTAATCTCTGTTTAACAAAGAGAAGATTTTCTCAGCACATTACTTAACATAATAGTTTTAATAACTAATTTCTACTAACTGATTCATTTTATCTTTGCCGTGATGACATTAAATAATATTTGACTAGATAGTTTTCAAGACACTTCTATACAGCTTAAAGTGAGATTTAAAGGCTTAACTAGGTTAATTAGGTGAACTAGGCAGGTTAGGGTAATTAGGCAAGGTATTGTATAACGATGGTTCGTTCTGTAGACTATCGAAAAAAATATAGCTTAAAGGGGCTAATAGTTTTGACCCTAAAATGTTTTTCAAAATAATTAAAAACTGCTTTCTTTTTAGCCGAAATAAAACAAAGACTTTCTCCAGAAGAAAAAATATTATCAGACATAGCGTGAAAATTTCCTTGCTCTGTTAAACATCATTTGGGAAATTTTTAAAAAAGACAAAAAAATTCAAAGGGGGGCTAATAATTCTGACTTCAACTGTAAATAGTTAACTTGAATATATATATTACACAAATAGCATAATATTTTATTAATATTTATTAAAGAAATATTTTATTAATATGTTTTAAAAACATTTTTAATATTTCTACTTTTATGTTTTTTCATTTGAATATTAAAATATATATTTTAAATATATGCAATATACAGATTGAGGGCAAAATTGTTCATTATTAAATTATTATTGAAATATTTGTTTTCTTTTTTTAATGTATTTCTCAAGGGATATTTAATGGAGCAGGGACATTTTCAAAGTAATTCCAATCATTTTTTTTCTTCTAGAGCAAGTCCTATTTGTATTTTTTTTTTCTGGAAAAAAAATCTAAAATTATAACAATTTAACAGGAGGGCTGTTTAAATGTTAAAATTAACGTTTACTATAAACAACTGTGTACAATTATTGTTTATTATTAATTCACTTAAGTAAATACATTAATAGAATACCCTCAATTCGTAGCAGACCAAAATGATCACAACCAGTATATTCACATTCATTTATTAGCTCTACACTCATTTTGTACATCATCTGTTAACCTGTTTGTATCAATCTGGATGATTTTTTGCAATAAATAAAATTATATAAAATAAAAATTATATAATAAGTTGCTCACCCTCATGTCATTTCAAACCCCTGAGACCTTTACCTGAGAGCCCTTGAAACAAATTAAGAAATTTTAAATCCAAGGGGTCTCTCAAAGTCCAAAAATAGAATCAAAAGATTGTCAAATCATTTGACTACAGTGGTTTAACGGTACTCATATGACGCTTCAAGAACAATTTTGTATGCCAAACAACTGCAAAAATGACTTTATTTGGCTTTGTTTCCCCATGTCAGATAAGGGTACTTGTTTACTATGCACAATACAATGCTTACATGTTGCGCTGTTGACTTTAATGGCAATGCATTGTACTGCCCATAGTAAATGTGCACCTTGATGATCCGACAATGAAGAGAAGACAAAAGCGAACAAAAACATATTTACAATTTTTTGGTGCACAAATGTGTTCTTGGAGTTTCAGATTACAGAACCACTAAAGTCTACTTTCTTCTTTTCTGGATTTTGAAAATCTCTTGACTAATGCTGTCTAAGGAGGATGAGTGAACTCTCAGGGCTCTATTTTGACGGTCCATGCGCAAAGCGCAAAATGCAGGGCGCAAACGCTTTCAGGGCGTGTCTGGACGTGTTTTTGCTAATTTAGGGACGGGAAATCTGCCTTGTGCTTCGGCGCATGGTCTAAAAGGGTTGAGTTTATTTTCTTAATAAGTTATAGGTGTGTTTTAAGAATAAACCAATTAGAGTCTCATCTCCCATTCCCTTTTAGAGCCAGCTGCGTCGCGCCAAGAGCGCATTCGCCATTTACAGGACCCAAAGCAAGTCTAAGTGGAAAAAATGAGCATTTCACAAGCAAACAGTTAACAGTTGACAGTTTTTTAACAGAAAACTGTTAAACAGAGCATCTACTGCGTGAGAATGAGAGATAATGGATCACTTTCGCTCTTGGATAGGGAAACCTTTACGCACAGACATCAATTAGTCTATAAATAAATACTTTTGTTTGTTAAGCGCAAATATTCGTTTCAAAACTATTTCTAAATTCAGTTCTAATTTCTAGCAAACAAATAAATGAACAATATTAACGAAGTGTGCTCAAAAACCTGAGTTATATCTTAAAACACATGCCATGCCCCATATGGTCTAAAACCTGACAGGTGGGCAAATCTAAGCTTGTTTTTAATAAAACAAATATAAATATGGATATAATAAATAATACTGCTAATAATAATAACATTATACAAAAGCAAATTGTTATAAATGAACTGAAAAAGCCTCCCGAGATGAAGAAGACATAAAAGCAGTGATTTTTCATATTTATGTAGGCTAGAAAATAATATGTTTTGTAATATTTTAATCCTTTATATTTATATCCTATATCTATTCTTATTATATCCTATATATATCCTTAATATTTACATTTTTTCATGTAAAGATATTTGCCTATTGCTCTCTTGTGCGTATTAAGCAGTGTGTAAGCGAGGCGCAACTCTGCGCCGGAGTTTAGACCGGGTTAGTTTTGGTCTAATGAAAAATCTATTAGTTTCTCAAAATAGCAACGCGCCAGCGGTCCGCTTCAGAACGCCTTCCTTTTTTGACCAGAACGCCTATGGGCGCAAAAATGAGCGCTAATGCATTTGCTATTTAAACAGCGTTAGGGCCCTCAGATTTAATCTAAAATAGCTTAATTTGTATTCAGAAGATGAGCAAAGGTCTTAGTGGATTGGAATGACATGAGTAATTACCAACTTTATTAACATTATTACTTTAAATAAATCATATACATTACGTTTTTTTTCTAGCTATGCAAGAACAATACTATAATATTATATTATTATAATAATATAATAATATTTATTCATGATCCTGATCATGAAGCCGTTGTCTGAAATATGCAGTTGTCTGCTTTCTTGTTCAGGCTCAACCCAACAGCAAGTACAAAACAAGTATGTGCAGGGACTTACGGCAGCAAGGCGGCTGCCCGAGAGGAGCCAGCTGTACATTTGCCCACACGCAAGAGGAGTTGGAGAAGTGAGAACACACACAAACACATACACACAGACACACACACTAGGGTTGCAAAATATGTCATTTCAGCATTAGCACATCTGCAGTAGTCACATTGGTTGTGCAGTGTTGAGTTGAATTAATAGTTGACTGCAGTTCAAAACACATGTGGTTTGTGGGGACGCTGCAAAGGTAAACCATAAAATAGTGAAAGTTTATCAATAGCTACATTTTCATCCACTTATTTTTATGCGCATTGTGGATTTGTGCATATAAAACTGGTTGATGGTAACGTCAAGATGCACATAAAATTTTGAAAATGCGAATAAAAAACATGCGCATAACTGAGTAGAATAAACTTTTTATTCAATAAGAAAAGATGTGCATAAACTTTGATGGAAACACTTTTACTGAACAAATTCCTTTATCCGCATTAAAAAAGTCATGTGAGTTTTGTTATAAGAGATCATGTGATGATAAAAATAAATAAACCAGCAGGCTGAGCACATTGTAAAACATCTGAAATGTTGTTTTGGTCATTCTAAAATGCCTTAAACGTTTCAGTATTAGTGTTATTATATTATTAATTACCTCCAGAATCAAGAGCGTCTGTGCTTCGCATCTCACGTCTTCAAACGCCAACGAGTGTTCACTGCATGTCAGGATTGCCTCCTGAGGCACAAGTCATTTATTAAATGAAGAAAAGATTCACACAGCTACTCCTACTGCAGCAAATTACCTTTTGTACTGTTGATATTTGGTGCCAGTTAATCAGGAATTGACGATTTTGTTTGCTTTGACTCGTTTGATGGAAGTGCTGCTTTATTCGCACGTCTGTTATGCGATAATCCAGTTTTGCACATAAAGTTAATTTGCATTTTGGATGGAAAAATACCTACTGTCATGTTTTTAAATATAACATTTGTAGCTTTAATTATGTTGGCTTGAGAAAGCCAACATACTGTTATGCTACTCTGGCTTATGAAAGCCAACATACTGTTATGCTACTTTGTCCTTGAAAACAAACGTATCTCCTCCTAGGCCGTTCATGCCACAGGGCCCAAATGTGGTCAAAATGTGCCTTCTACATTCAAGATTGTTGCTATATCTCCTCATGCCTATAAGACTTATTGTTTTTTTAATAAAAAATGTTAAATATTAAATTTTTATAATCCGGGCATATAAAAAAAATGATACAAGCCCCAAATTTGGCCAAAAGCTGTATTTAGATGCGTTAGATTTTGTTGCTATATCTTTAAGGTTTATCAGACCAATAATTTTCCAATAATTTTCCAATAATTAATTTTTAAGCATTAATTTTCTTATAATATGGCAAGCCATTTTTGACTTAAACTCCATATTTTTTTACTGATATGGAAAGCCATTTTTGCATGTATCACTTTCACACTTATTAAGCAATGTATTTTTAAAAAAAATACTGCAAGCCATTTTTACATAATGTTCATTCCCTTAGTCCCTTTATTAATCAGGGATCGCCGCAACGGAATGAACTGCCAACTTATCCAGCATTTGTTTTACAGAGCGAATGCCCTTCCAGCCGCAACCCAACACCAGAAATACATAATGTTCAAGTCCAGTTTTTGACACTCATAAAGACTGTCATAGAAACATCGGGGTTGATTAAGATCACTCATATTGCCAAGAAGCGTTGATGTATCATCACTAACCTGTCAACCATTTAAAAATAGCAATATCTCTACATCAGAACATCATAGAAACCTGGGCATTGGCTTGTTTGACTCATGCTAGCAAATGGGACTTCCTGTGTACTATGCATGGTAACAATGATAATGGAAGCCAAGTGCTAATAACGATTAGCTACATGCTATGAATGATTATCTAAATGCAATAACATATGCTAGAAATGCCTACTAAGTATTAGCATTTGATCAAACATGTACACGAGCATTGCCATTTAGCAACTGCTTAGCAACCACTTAACAGTGCCATAATTGTTTTAGCAACTGCCTAGCAACCACTTAGCAACCACCACCGTGCTTCCTGCCAACTGCCATTCCTAGTCCTAGTGCAGTCACGTTGGCTTTCTCAAGCCAACATCAAAGTTTATCAATAAACTTTAGGTTCTAGTTATTATTATTATTATTTTTTTATATATTCATATAGCAGGCGCTTTTATCCAATGTGACTTATAAGCTAGTGTAAAAGAACCGTTTATTATATTGTTTACGACCATAAAAAAATATTCTTTGTAAACTATATGACAAGTTTAAGTTAGCTTATTATTTCTCTGATCATATGGAGAGTGTGTGTCCTATAGGTGGTTTGTCAAACCCACTACATGTGTGGAGCACATTCAGAATTGTGCAATGCTTTCCAAGAACTTTGTACTTTTGATTAGAAAGTGTCTGATGCATACAGAGAGGAAAAGAGTGTGTACTACAGGTGGTTTGTCAAGTCCACTCGCCTACATGAAGCACATTAGTATTGCAATTATAGTACGTTTTTTTTCCAGAAATATGGATTGTTTATGCATCATAGTTGTACAGTGGGTAGCACAATCACCTCACAACAAGGAGGTTGCTGGTTCCAGCCTCGGCTGGGTCAGTTGGCATTGCTGTGTAGAGTTTGCATGTTCTCCCCATGTTTGCATGGGTTTCCTCCAGGTGCTCCGGTTTCCAAGTCCAAATGCATGTGCTATAGGTGAATTGAGTAAGCGAAATTGTCCGTAGTGTATGTGGGTTGCAGATGGAAGGCCATCTGCTGCGTAAAACATAAGTTGGTGGTTCATTCAGCTGTGGCGACCCCAGATTAATAAAGGGACTAAGACGTAAAGAAAATGAATGAATGGATTGTTTGTAAGAAAGTTTCTGATGTTGGATGTTGGTTTGTAAGAAAGTTTCTGATGATGTTGCTGATGTTGGATAAAGAAATGATTAAGTATTGATGAAAAAAAGCAAGCATTTTTTGTTTTTAAAAGATTTTTAATAGATGTCTAAAAGATGTCTAATAGACATCTAAAGATAGTCGTCTTGGCTGAAACAAGGCTAAATTTGGGCTGTCATTGAAAATCTAATAGACGTCTAAGAATAAGCCAAATCTCGACTAGTCATCAAATAAACAGAAATGAATGACTACAAATACAAAGTCTGTCTAATCCATACCTGACAACATTTGTCCCTGAAAATCTAGGAGATCGGGGGGTTAAGTTCGGGGGTGAGGTGTCTGTATAACACTGTGGTGTTAGTAACTGTAATATGAAGAGTGTTTCTGATCCTATACTAATATTGGCAACCCTAGGGTTTCACAGACTGTACCAAAATGGTGAAATAACAAAATGGTAGGGTGGCAGCTGGAGATGGGTCTGAAAAATGCGGGAGACTCCCGGGAAAAACGGGAGTTTTGTCAGGTATGTGTCAGGGTTCTGCCACTCTGGTCTAGTAAATTCTTGTTTTGGTGGTAGAGCTCAGACGCTAGCCATTTCTGGTCCTGTTTCTGTCTCTGTGTGCGCGCGCACCGTCGTGGGTGTACGCAGAGTGTGCGCGCGGCCGCATCCCTCAGACGCGTGCACTCTTGTACTCGTGTTTGTGTTTTCGTCTGTCTGCAGCATGGTGCTTCATTCCCAGCATCTCAGCCTAGTTGGTTTCAGTTTTGGTCGGCGCTGGGATGAAGCATGCATGCTGCGTTTGTGAGCGCACGGTGAGTGTTTTCATTCATCGTGTGCTCGTGTCTTGCGTCTGTTGTCAAAGCACATGGCTCTGTGTTTACATTGTGGTCACGTGCTTTTGTCGTGTGCTTCAGTGTTGTGTTTGTTGTCTTGAACATGCGGTTAATGAGTTCTCTCATTGGCCGCATGTTCTTGTCCTGTTTTATGTGAGCGCATGGCTTGTGTTGTCTCTCTGTGTCATGCGATCTCCCGTCTATTGTCTAGTCCCACCCTCCTTGTTAACTCATTATTAGTTTGTCATGTTCACCTGTGTGTCAATTTACTTTTTGCTTTATTATCCCCTCATGTTTTCAATCCTGTGCGAGTTCGTCATGAGATGTCATTGTTTCCTGTCTTGCCTTGTTCTCCTGTTTGCCAGCCTGCCTGGTCTAATTTGTTTGTTTGTTTGTTTATTTGTTTTATTAATATTTTCCCCCTCGGGGTAGTTTGTTTTGCTGTTTTGCTTTTTATTTTTTTTTATCAATAAATACCCATTATTTCTTTGCACTTGAGTCTTCGCTCCTTTTCCCCACCACGAACGTGACAGTATGGTCTAATCTGTCTATCTGTTTTGGGCATTTAGATATTTATCAGATGTCTTTTAAACACAAAATTGTTTGCTAAGATCAGTCTTAAGTTGTTTTTATAAAATGGTCAGAGAATGAGTTAGGGTTTGTCAAGTCATTCCACAAGGATGGAATTTTAATGGTGAAGGTCCTAACGGTTGATTTTGTGCCCGATTGGGATGATAGCACCAAACAACAGTCATTGTAATATGATGAAGACTATCCAGTGTGTTTTACTGTACAAGTGATTAGTCAGTTTCTCTGTTTGACTCCCCAGAAAACCATAAATGAGTGTTCACTGCATTTGTATATTTGCTCTATTTATCCGCGATTGTCTATTATATATTATGAAGATGCACTCACCTACAGAATCATTGCTGAGAATCTAAAATGATAATTTATTTCAAGACAGAGCTAAAGAACTCATCTGATAAAATGTTATTCATATTTATGTATTGCAGAAAAGCTCATTTTTGCAATGTCAGTTTTTCCAAAATTGTGCAGCCCTGCCACACACACACACATACACTTGAATGAGCACATCCAACCTGTCTCGTGCTGTAGCACAAAAAAAAACACTGGCACAGATGAACCTGCTCTCTTTCCCACGTCTCCCTAATTTTTATTCAAGCTCACCCACACAATCCTACAGTACCAACACAACAGAAATCTGGCATTATTGTGGCTAGATCTCCCTCCCGTCACCCCGTTTCCTCTCTCAAGTTCATCTTTCTATCTCTTTCAGGCACAGAATGAGAAATAGGAAAGCTAGTGGGGCGGTGAGGCCGTTTCTGTCAGTTCCAGCAGTGATGGCCAAATCTTGCACCAAGGCAGGGTCAGAGGTAGGCCCCGGAGGGATAAAGAACCATGAGAAAGATGCCTCAGAGGACGTGTCTCCAACTCAGCTCATCCCTAGAGGAGGAGACCAGCAGGAGGACAAAATGCTGCTCAGTGGTGTTAACGGATTGCATGTGACCAGCCTAGAACAGTAAGTGCACTTATTAGTGGAGTTAACTGAAGATTGTCATATTCATTGATTGGAACAAATTCCTAAATGTAAAAATGTTAGGTCACACTATTTTGAAGGTCCGTTTGTTGAATTTAAATTACATTGCATTTACATGCCAACTAATTCTCATTGGATAACAAGAAGACTGTTAGGTTGGGGTTAGGTTTAGTGTAAGTTGATATGTACTTGCAAAGTTTCTTATAGTCAGTTAAATGTATTTTTAAAATTAACATGTCAAATTAAGCCAATAATAAATGGATATCATTAAAACAATTTATGGAAAACATGATCATGCATGGGCAGACTGTAAAACATAAATAAAATGTAAATAGCCTACTAATACTGTAAATAACTATTTATAAAAATGTGCATGATGAGTATCATCATGTATCACAATCATTTGAAATTTATGGAGATTCTATGAACATAAACAGTATTTTATTTTATTTTTTTCAGGAATCTTGGCAGTCACAGCCAGTCTCCTTCCATATCTTCAGTGATGTCTACAGACAGACACGGGCATGTCCAGATGAGGGCTCACCCTGAGTACTGCTCTCAGGACCAGAGACCATATGAGCTGACACCCTACCCTCAGTCCACCAGTATGTCACAAACCTCTCCCAGAGGGGTGATTACTCCCCTAAACTTTATGATCTACTACTGGGGCTTCTAATTTTTCTTTCTCAGTTTCTTTTTCTTTCTTTCAGCTTACAAGACTACATTTCTAAAAGCATCTTCATAGCCAATCCTAGCAACTAAACCATTAAATCATGTTAGCAGTATGTTAAACAAGGTAGCAATATGCAAACCATCAAAGTAATAAAAACTGTTAAAAATATATAGCAACAACTAAGTATTAAAAATGTTAGTGCTATTGTCATGTTAAAACATCCTAGAAAGAATGCTAGCAACATGCTAATCCATGCTAGCCACATGGTAGCCAAGTGCTAGGACATGTTAACTTGCTAATGTTACTTAGCTAATTACAAATTAACTCTATATTAATGTGGTCAGGTATGTGGTAAGACATGCTGGAAGCATGGTAACTAGATATTAAAAACATGCAAGCAACATTGAATTTATGTTAATTTTGTTACATGCTAAATCATAGTAAGTATTGATTATGCAAAAACAGGGAAGCAACAAGCTAACTTTGCTAGCAGACTGCAACAATGTGCTAGCAGCATATTAAACATGCGCAATGTGTCAACACATGATGAAAAAAGCTGTGGCAATTCATGCTAGCAAAATTATATTTTGTTGCAGTGTTTTAATAAATGTTAGCAACATTTAAATAACTCATTTTATTAGAGTCTTAACATGTTAGCATGTTAAAATTAAGCTAGCAACATTTATTATTTGTAGTGGTGTTAAAACATGCTGTAAATATGCCAAAACTTTCTTTCTTTCTTTCTTTCTTTCTTTCTTTCTTTCTTTCTTTCTTTCTTTCTTTCTTTCTTTCTTTCTTTCTTTCTTTCTTTTTTACTTGTTTGTTTTTTGTTTTGTTCTGTTTCTTTCGTTTGTTTTGTTCTTTCTTTTATTTGTTTGTTTCTTTATTTTTTAGATTTTTCTGTTTGTTTGTTTCTTTCTTTCTTTTATTTCCTTCTTTCTTTTGTTTGTTTGTTTCTTTTTTGTTTCGTCATTTCTTTCTTTCTTACTTTGTTTTCTTTTTCTTTCTTTTATTTTTTTTCATTGTTTGTTTGTTTGTTTCATTCTTTTTTTCTTTTGTTTGTTTGTTTATTTTGTTTGTTTCGTTCTTTTGTTTGTTTGTTTGTTTCTTTCTTTCTTTCTTTCTTTCTTTCAAAAAGAAAAAAAACTTTCTTAAAATCACAGCCTACAAATTACAGTCCCAACAAACATTACCATCTAGTGCACTTTGACTGCCCACAGTTGATTCACTTCTTCTTTTCCCCCCACAGTTCCTCCGAAGTCATGCAGTCCTCGCTTCCATCGTTCCAGCAATGTGCCCGAGTCCATGTTACCCCCTTCAGTGGGTCCTGTGTATCCTGATCAGCACCCCTCTGTTCCTGCTTTAGACAGACTAGGCCCAAGTCATTTTGGGCCGCCCTCTGCCTACTCCTCTCATGGCATGTACACCCCTGTTTACGACAGCCGGCGCGTGTGGAGGCCACCGCTGTATCCCAGGGATGGAGGAAGGAGTAACTCTCTCCCTCTAGAGGTTTTTCGATCCACTGTTTATCAGCCACCGCTCCGGGAGCGATACAACTCTCTAGACAGTCCATACTGCAGCACGACGGAGCAGAGAGCCACTATGCACAGGGCAGGTTTTGTTATCCTATTCATGTCTGTTGAATGAGCCAGAAATTCTTTTCCATCTTAATCAATATTTTGCCTCCAAAATGTTAAATATAATTTGCGTTATAAAAGGTTATATTTTGGTTTTGGAGGTCTCCAACAACAGTCTGTTACGCATGCAAGGTCAAAAAACTTTCATTGTCTTATATGCATTTATTTTTACCTATTTATCCTAACGACTACCATATGATTCATTCAGCAATTCATTTATTCATTTGTTACCACCACGGCTATGAAGTAGCACAGAGTATGTGAGAGCCCAATGCAGGAATGCAATAAAGCAATGCAGTTAAACACTAGCATATTACAATTTCAAAAGTTGAACTGTTTTGAAAATTAACCGCACCGCGTGTGAGGAACAGCTGATGGTGGCCAAACGGCAAACGGCAGAGGATGGCGAGTTCAAAAACGCATTGAAATCAATAATGGAAGAAGAATGCGTCACATTTTTATTGTGATTTTAGACACAATATGTGAATTAGCCCATACAGATTTAACCTGGGAGATACAATACAAGCACTGATCCATAGTAGATAAGTGATTACAAGCCGTGCGGGGCTATTACAACTTATAAAACACAATTAAACATGTATTTTAACAATTTTAAACACATATATTTTATGATCTGGAGGAAGAAGGAACTGGTCCATATGATTGTAAGAGTTATTGACAAAGTCCCTGTCAAAGTCTAACAATGTCCTATACATAATAGTCTCTGCTGCTCCTTCCTTTAATAGCAAACAGCCGGCGAATTCTGCGTTGCAGCCTAGGTTATTGTATCAATCATCAGAAAAATGACAGCATCAAACACAGCACTAGGTTGGCTATACTATGGTATTGTTGTGAAAATGAACTTAAACCTGTTATTTTCCCACAGCCATCTGTCTGTGTTCGTCATCTATTCGCATCATGATCAATATTTTGATCCCCCGTGCTCCGCTAGTGTCTGAAGTTAAAAGCATGTTCACATTTTACCGGATCTGGAACTACATATTTGGTGTTCAAGCAAAAGATCAGAACCCAACACAATTCATTTATTTGACTTTAAGTCGACTATTTCGTTAAAGAAATAATAGTTTTAAACACGGTGCACTTTCAGATTTAAACCTCAGCTGGATGTTTTCGTTTACTTAGTACTGTGTCACACACTGCATGGAAGCTCATTTTCAAAAACCTATAATAGGGAAAACCAAAATACAACAGTTATTTGCAGAATAAGAAAATAGGTCAAAATAAAATATTTCATAATTTCAGGCCTTTACTACCATAAACAAAAATAAATGTATTGGTATAAAATTGTATTTTTAAATACAAGTGGTTTATTAATTTCATCTAGAGCTTTATATCTGCCCGTATTTATAATTGTCTTAAATATGTGAGTACTGGATGAAATTGGAGATTATTTAAATTGTGTAATTGTTGTATTATGTATATTTATTATTAATTATCATAGCATGTATTAGTAATAGTCAGGCCTTAACATTAGCACCCACCAAACCACCAAATGCGGGTAGATTTCAGCTGTGGTGGGTTAGACAGACACCCTCACTAGCCACTTTGGCTGGTTAAAAATCATTTTTAGGTTGCCAGAGCTGCATCGTCTTTAAGTTTAAGACCGTTTACCAATATGTTTGCAAATGTGCTCCTAGAATAGAGAAGCGGCTTGACTGATTAGTGTTCTCGCGAGCAAAAGAAACCAAGTGAATACCGAATATCAGCACGGTGAGACGCAGGCAATCCTCACTGGCGTTGTGAGTGAGGCACAGCTGATGTGAGGGACGTGAAAGGGATGTGAAAGGGAGTGCTTGAAAGCTCCCAATTCCTTGCGCAAAAACAACCGTGCCTGGAAATGGTGCTTTCGTTTCTCTTTGAAATTGATTGAAAAAAATCAGTGCTCGTGCACCCACTGTCCTGCTGCTTTCAAGAGATCTCCAGATTTTTTGTATGCAGTCGTTGTTGACACTTTCGCTTTCACCATTCTTTAAACAGATTATTAATTGGACTAATGTTAACCGTGTGCACATGATCATCCTTTCACTCAGAATGTTTTTCACCTGCTTTCTTTTGCTTGCAGTTATTTTTGTTAATATGGTTTAATTACCATAATTTACAATAACATTGCTTTAATAGGAGATTAACTCTCCATTTATCTATAGTTACCTGATGATCTGGGATCTTTAGCTTGTACAAACTACTATGTATAGTTTTAAATGAATGGGAATATTTTTTTTAATGTCAATTGTTTTTTTAAAGAACATTTTAGTTGAATAAAAAGTGTATGTAAACAGCTATATTTAGCTTGTTTTGCCACATTATTTAAAATTAGTGACAAGGAAAGAATTAGTTTAATGTGGCTAGAGAAAAAATGGTACATTAGTAATTTTTAGCATGCCAAAGTCAAAGGTGTCCATTTATATGTTACTTTCCCAACAACAAAAGTGTGGCTAGTGAAAACGGTGAGTGGCTAGTGATATTGGAAAACTACTAGCCACAGTGACTGGTGGTCAAAAACGCTAATGTCAAGCTTTGCTAGTCATAAAAAAGTTAAGGTTTCTACATAGCTTAATTTTATTTAATTTAATTTAATTTTATTTTATTTTATTTATTTTTGTTTTATTTTATTTTATTTTATTTTATTTTAGTTAGTTGCCAAAACAACATTTCTGATTTGCATTACGATGTGTGAATTATAATTATATTTACATTTTTTCTATGTGAGCTTTACTTAACCAAGCAATTATGAAAGGCAGGGGAATGTTTGAAATTTGTTTTTGCTTGCTCATAAATGGCACACTTCATTTTTAGATTCAAATTAGGTAGAAGAGAATGAAGAAATTGATTTTCTGTCTATTTTACAGGACGCATACACTCGTGTTGATGAACTCTATCGACACAAACAGGAACACTGGGTACATCACCACAGCAATGTGAACCGGGCATCCCAGTCATCCCCAGTCTTCACTGTGGACATGTGTCCAGAGGTATGAAAACTGCGCCTCATTCATCATTCATTCTTTCATTTTCTGTTTGGCTTAGTCCCTTTATTAATCAGGGATCGCCAAAGCGGAAAGAACAGCCAACTTGTCCAGCATATATTTTACGCAGTTAATGCCTTTCTGGCTGCAACCCATTACTGGGAAACACCCATACACTCTCATTCACACACATACACTACGGACAATTTAGCTTACCCAATTCACCTGTCTTTTGACTTGAGGGGGAAACCAGAGCACCCGCAGGAAACCAATGCAACACGAGAAGCACATGCAAACTCCACACAGAAATGCCAACTGACCCAGCCAAGACTAGAACCAGGGACCTTCTTGCTGTGAGGCGATCGTGCTACCCACTGCGCCACCGTGACGCCTGCCTCATACATGCACTGTGCAAATAAAATAGTGTTAAATCATATTTGTAGTTTCTTGGATGAATAACTTTGGCAAGTAAAGCTGCAATCTCTCTTCTGAGGTGTGTTAAGCTATTTTAAGTGGGTCTGTTGCTCGGCAACTGATAAATCCAAAGCAAGCAAGCCGCTCTGTCCTGGAAATTGTGTGCGAACGAGCGCTTTGAAACATGTGAACCTCTCACAGAAAGATTTGGCACCACGGAGGCTGAGTCACTTTGCATTGTTTCTTTCCACCCCCATTTTTTTGAATCTGGCAGCCTGTTGCACATTGGTGGGTGTGAGATAGAATGTTGTCATCGCTCTCTTTCTCCTCCTTTAGCATCCCGAGGGTGTAGGTGGTGGGCGTATGACTTGCAAGTGTCATGGTGGAGAAGAGAGTCTTGCCCACTACTCGCCCTGGTCGTGCAGCACCATCAGCCCATTTGAGTCAGAGCCCCATCATTTGCCAACCCACTCCTGTTCCAAACATCTAGTAAGTGATCGCTTCCATACACAGTTGCACAGATTCACTTTTGCCTTCATTTAGCTCATTCAAATGTGTTTGATTCAAAGGGCTTTCAAAATAATATGGCACAGGCGCAAATGAAGCCACTTCAGATCGCATTTACACTGACACACTTATAATAATAATAATAATAATAATAAAAATAATAATGCATTTTATTTATATTGCGCTTTTCTCAAACTCAAAGCGCTAACAAGAGCATCAAAACACAGATAAGCATAAAATAAACAAAAAAGTAAGAATGATAATAATGAATAAAAATATAGAATAAAAGTTATAAGTTTTAAGCAATAATAAAAAGATGAGTTTTAAGAAGTTTTTTAAAACAGTCCAGGGAACTGGCGTTCCTGATGTTTGTGGGGAGAGCATTCCACAATTTAGGTGCACAATAAGAGAATGCCCTACCTCCCATGGTGCTAAGTTTGCAGCGAGGCTGAAGCAAGATGAGCCCCGAAGCAGAACGTAGGTTGCGAGAGGAAGAGGAGGTACAGTAGATAACAGGTCACATATATAATCAGGAGCAAAACCATGAACAGCTTTATAAGTTAAAATCAAGGTTTTAAAATCGTGACTTAACAGGTAACCAGTGTAACTGTTGAAGTACAGGGGTAATGTGAGAGCGAGATGATGTGTGGGTTAACACATGTGCGGCTGAGTTTTGAATATATTGTAAGATCTTAAGTGAATTAGCTGGCAGACCCCTAAATAAAGAGTTACAACAATCTAAACGAGATGGAATAAAAGCATGGACAAGCCTTTCAGCATCTTGTCTTGAGAGAAAAGGACGGATGAGGCCAATGCCGAGTAGGTGAAAAAATTTAGTTTTTCTTAACATAAACAGTTAACAAAAACTAAATTTTTTTCAGGCTAAGCTGAGCATCAAAAAAAACACCAAAATTTCGCACCTGCATCGAAGAAGTTAAGGAGAAGTATCAACTGTTAACTTGAGATTACCACATCTATTAACATTAGAGGGTTTGCCAATAAGTAGGATCTCAGCTTGGAGCTATTTAATTTGAGAGTTTTGTTGCATCCAGGCTTAATCTCCACCAAGCAGGTGTTAAGTGTTGACAGTGAGGCAGATAGATTAGGAGATGTACTAATATAAATCTGTGTGTCGTCAGCATAGCAATGATAATTAATGCCATATTTTTGTACAATTTTTCCATATATATAATATATAAAAATATATATATATATACATATATAAATGCTAAACAAAAGTGGCCCGAGTACCGAACCCTGGGGGACACCGTGACACAGAGGGACAGTCTGCGATCTATGACCTACCAAATCAATTAACTGTGAGCGTTCAGTGAGGTAGGATATGAACCAACTTAATGCTGTCCCAGCTAGGCCAACCCAGTTTCGAAGTTTGTCCAATAGTAAGCTGTGAAAGATTGTGTCAAATGCTGCAGTTGGATCCAAGAGCACAAGAATACTACAAGCCCCCGAGTCAGCAATCATAAGAAGGTCATCAGTGACCTTAACTAAGGCTGTTTCCACACTGTGACCCAATCTAAAGCCCGATATACCTCACTTCCTTCCTGTTTGTTCTTTTGCTTTGTTGAGGTGTGGTTGTGTGAAAGGACACTCATTCATGTCTTTCAGATCACATTTACACTGACACACTTTTAAATCTGCTTATTTCTTAACAGATTGTTATTGTTAGCTCAAGTCCAGGCTATATTTTAGATTCAGTTTGACTAATTTTCTCAAAGTTAATGTCTTCAATGTAAAAATGGGGTCACTTTAGATTGAATCCACACTGATTCAGTTATTATCTGGCCTATATAGTACATATATTTCTATTGTGTCCATTGAACTAAATCAACATTAACGTGTAGCATATAGTAAGTGGCTTCAACTGAATCACTGAACAGTGACAGATGGAGTCACTTCACATTCACAAATATTCTCAGATTGGCTCAGCAACACACTCCTATTGTTTGCTTTAAACTGAATCAATATATTCTAAAAGTGTGGCTGGTCTTAATGGATCGAAAAACCTAAAAATGATAATTCTGTCATAATTTTCTCTCCCTCTGCTTGTTCTAAACATGTTTGAATTTCTCTCTTCTGTTGAAACCAAAGTAACATATTTTGAAGAATGTTGGAAATTGGTAGCCATTGATGTTCTAAACAGGGTGGGAACTACGGGGAGATATGTGGAGCTTGGCTCCCCTAATTAGGGCATGGGCTACTTTGTAAACATGATTTGTAAAATTTTGTGGTCTCAAAATATATTGACATATATTGATATATGTGTTACTTTGATGTGCAGTTTCAGTATTGTGTAATGTGATCATGGATTATTATGTGTAAAAGTGCAAAAATATTATTTATGCATGAATGCGATTTACACCTCACCTAAAACATGATGGGCCCTATTATACACCCGGCGCAATGTGGCGCAAGGCGCGGCGCAATAGTCTTTTGGTACTTTTAGCTCAGCGCAAGGGTCATTTTGAGGCGTTGCGCCACACTGTTTAAATAGCAAATGCATTTGCGCTCAAATGTGCGCCCATAGGCGTTCTGGTCTAAAAAAGCAGGCGTGTTTTGGCGCGTAGCTATTTTAAGAAACTGTAAATAGTCTGATCTTTAGACCAGAACAAAGTCGGTCTATTGTCTGGTGCAAAGTGCACCTGGCTTACACACTACAAACAAGATGCTGAGCAATACGCAAATGTCTTTACATATGGAAAATATATAATATCTTAAGGATATATATATATATATATATATATATATATATATTATATATATATATATATAATAAGAATATATACAGGATATAAATATAAATTATTAAAATATTACAAAGCATATTAATTTCTAGCCTACATGAAGATTTAAAAACCACTGCCTTACTTTCTTCATCTCCTGAGGCTTTTTCAGTTCATTCAATTTGCTTTTGTATAATGTTATTTTTTTAGCAGTATTATTTATTATATCCATATTTATATTTGTTTTATTAAAAACAAGCTCAGATTTGTCCACCTGTCAAATTTTAGACCATATCGGGCATGGCAGGTGTATTTGGAAATAACTCAGTATTTTGACCACACTTGGTTATTATTGTTCATTTATTCGTTTGCTAGAAATTAGAACTGAATTTAGAAATAGTTTTAAAACAAATCTTTGCGCTAAACAAACAAAATTAATTATTTATAGTCTAATTGATGTCTGTGCGTAAAGGTTTCCCTATCCACGAGAGCAAAAGCGAAAGTGAACTTACTTTACGTCAAAATGCGCTTATGGAGCGACGCAGCTGGCTCTTAAAGGGAATGGGAGATGAGACTCTAATTGGTTTATTCTCAAAACACACCTATAACTCATTAAGAACATAAACTCAACCCTTTTAGACCATGCGCCACGGCGCAAAGTGGATTTTCCCGTCCTTAAATTAGCAAAAATGCGTTCTGACACGCCCTGAAAGCATTTGCGCCCTGGGTTTCGCGCTCTGCGCATGAACCGTCAAAATAGAGCCCGATAACTACAAACTATTCTTGTTATGAGCAGCAAGGTGTTGGGGCGCTGAGGAGCAAAGTCCACTCATGTCAAAGACTGACTGCCAGATCCTTTCATATGGACGTTAAGACACTGCTTATTAATTTTCTGAAACAAATGATGTGACATTGTGTTTCGTTTTATTTGCTTCATACAGTAGGCTTTTTTTAAACACTGTGACATTGCTGTAAACATGTTGGACAATTAAGCTGAAAGGTAAACTTGACAAACGGAGCACCTTTTAATGGTCTTTCTTTTATTTTCGAATTCGCAATCATGTTTTATGAAAAGTGAGATCCCATGACGTTCTATAGGCCTATGTAAAATAGCATATGCTGTCCTTAATGCCATCATCTTGAGCTTATAGAGCGAATAAAAAATGATATGATACATGATGAGGTTATTTATTTATTTTTGTTAAAATATTTGTGTTTGTTGATTTTATATTTATAAATAAATGTATTCCGCTTACAGAAGCACTGCAGGTAAAATTAGACAAAGATGTTATATTGTTTGGGTTGCTGTTGTTTGTGCATGTAAAAATAAATCCCTCAAAAGATATTTTTATGGGTCAAAGAAAGGTCTTGATGAATAAATCAAGCATTTTTTTTATCGAGAAAGTAACCTAAATTTCTAAAATACTTTGCAATGTTAGTTATAATTATATAAATATTAGTTTTAATGTATATATATATATTTTGTTTATATATATTACTGTTTAAGGACAGGGATCCTTATCTTATATATATATATATATATATATATATATATATATATATATATATATATATATATATATATATATATATATATATATATATATATATATATGTCTTATACTGCCTACGCTCTGGCAATGGACTCTCAAGTTCAAAGCAAAACGATACCCCCAACCCCCCCCCCCCCCCCCCCCCCCCATTTTTTTTTTTTTTTAAGTGGGCTCCCACAAAGGCCACAGTATAGTTCGAACACTGGTTCTAAGTAATTATTTTTACTACTGTAAGTCAATGGTTACTGGTTTCCAACAAAAAGAGACATGATATTGAAACATTTGAGGTTGAGTAAATGGTGAGAACATTTTCATTATTGCGTGAACTAGCCCTTTAAGATCACTTTTAATGCTAAGCTGTTGTCAATTGGATTCTGTATTTTTATTTTTACTTTAAAACCCACAATTTTGGGGGCAACACGGTGGCACAGTGGTTAGCACTGACGTCACACAGTAGGAAGGTCATTAGTTCAAGTCCTGATTGGGTCAGTTGGCATTTCTGTGTGGAGTTTGCATGTTCTCCCAGTGTTGGCGTGGGTTTCCTCTGGGATATGCCTTCCAGCCTAAAGACATGCGCTATTGTGAATTGAATTAACTAAATTGGTCGTAGTGTATTTGTATAAATAAGTGTGTTTGGATGTTCCCCAGTACAGGGTTGCAGCTAGAAGGGCATTTGCTGTGTAAAACATATGCTGGATAAGTTGGCTGTTCATTCCGCTGTGGCGACCCCAGATTAAAAAAATCACTAAGCCGAAGGAAAATAAATAAATAAACCCACAATTTCTAGTATACTACACTCCCATAAATAGTGCACTACATTACCCATAGTTCATTGATGGAGGTCTATAAATACACCTGACTTTCTTCCTGTTTGTTCTTTTGCTTTGTTGAGTTGTGGTTGTGGTTGTTTGAATGGACACTCAACCAAGTCCTTTGAGTTGTTCAATTGGGATGTGTTTAGTACATTTATTTTAGCCAAATATGTAGCCTCTGTTTGGATGTTTAAATTTGTATGACCTTTTTCAGAGTGTTGATTGTTTGTATGATGTACTTTTCTTTTTGTATTGTTTGTAGGGCTTAAGACCAACCTGTATCATCCTAGTCATTTAATATCTTTAAAGAACTCATATGCAACAATCAACACATTTCTGAACATCTCACAAAACATGGTAAATTCGTTGTATGTAGGAATGTGATATGCTTTCTAATTTATGTTTAATTATCTGTCCTCAGGAAGAGGAGAGTGGTGGCAAACGGTGGTTGCATGTGTTGGAACCATACAGACGACTGAAAGAAGAAGATCCCATTATTCCTTTTGGAGAAGGGCCCATCATCTCCAAATGGGGAGCCATTTCACGCGCTTCTCGCACCGGTTTTCACACCACTGACCCGGTCCAGGCCACAGCATCACAGGGGTGCACCGGTACCACCTCCATCAACTTCAGAGGTTTAAATTTATATTGCATGTTGTGATTTTTGAATGTTTTTCTTCAGCTTTTAGAATGATTCATGTTCTCCTCTGTTTTCAGACTATGGCTGTCATATTGGTCACAGTGACCTTAGATGGGGCCCACGCAGTTCTGATTCCTCCACTCACTCCAGCTTTTTAGAAAGGTACCAGTTCAGGCCATTTTATCTGGAAACTCCATTTTTAATCATGGAATATTTTGGGATCAATATATGTGTAAGATCACATGTGCACTGATTCACTTTTAAATAACACACTTACGCGACTTGAAATATTACCCATGATAAAATTCTCTCAAAATGAATTTAAAGTAAATGTCAAATGGGTACGTCTAAATTCAATAACATCACTATCACACTATTGGCAGGACCCACCCGACCATACGTTTGACTGCAGTTTCTATGTAAAATGATTGCAATACTAACAATTTTTGTTCCTTTTCACGCTGCTGATATTTACAGGAATATATCATCCACACAAAAATAATTATTTTCTTATAGTTTTTTGCACAACCCCAAATAAATACAACAAAACATCTTTGTGTATAATCATGCTTATGATTTCATGTCTATGATTTGTAATCATATTCATATTCATGCTCACCTATCCATTACCATATATACAACTTTTCTGGCGTGGTCAGTTTGCTCGGTAGCTACTTAGTACAGTGTTGTACTTGTAATGCAGAACGAATGGATTCAAGTCTGGTAAATCAACAAGACATTCAATTCATGTTTATTTCTATAGTGCTTTTACAATGTGGATTATGTAAAAGCAGCTTAACATAGGGGTTCTAGTAAACTGAAACTGTGTCAGTCTAGTTTTCAGAGTTGAAGTTCAGTTTAGTTCAGTTCAGTGTGTTTTAATTTTCACTGCTAAAAGTCCAAACACTGAAGTGCAAATCCATTAATACGCAGCTCCACAAGTTCCAAGCCAAGCAATCCAGAAAGTGAAGAAAAAAAAGAAACTTGAGAGAAACCAGGCTCAGTTGGACACAACCAGACAAAAGATAGACAAAAGTGCTGTAAAATAATGGTTAAATATGCATCAATGGCAATAGTCACTCTGACGTTTCGTGCGATTTGGATGTCCCAAGTTCAAGTCATAAAGACGTTTTCCTATCCTATCCCCTCCCTTTCCGGCTTTGCTTCCTGTCTAGCCATAGCCATTTCATAACAAAGCAATCTTAAAAAAAAAAAAAAAAAAAGTTACAAAAAGGGCTTATGTTACGTTTGCTTTTGAAAACCCTATCGGTTGGGTTTAGGAAAGGGTCTAGGTCAGTGGTTTGGTAGGTTATTTGTACGACAAGCCCTGCTTTCTTGTGAACATGTACAAGAAACGTAAAACAAAACATGCTAAGTACCACATTTCAGATTTACAAAAGTACACAGCTCCCTCTAGTGGATTTGTAATCTGAAACACACAATGAAACACACCCAGAGCAGTGCATTTTAAATCTTGCAAAAATTTAGACTGAAGTATGTATTTTCATAAGTTGGTATGCTGAGATAAAAATATAATAGAAACTGAAGCCAGTAAAAAAAAGCTACCTGACTGAACACCTTGAAAACGTATACATGTATAAATGATTATTTATATAATCCAGACATACATTTTATTGGATTGTCAGGAAAGTTACTTAAGACATCTTCAGTGTTTCCCCGTCTTCACCACCATGCTGGCATAGTCGTCTCACTGTCTTCTGTAACGGTCTAAAAATAGATCCGTAGCCGGAACATGGCTCTTCATGTTTGTGTTTGCAAAGCTCTTACACACAGCAGTGAGGGCTTACATTTCAGTCCCCATAACTCCCATGATTCATGTACAAGTCTCTCACAGATGGAAATATATTCTGCTTAAATTCATTCTGTGCTCCTTTATTTGTTTTTCATCTTAAAACCGACTTATTTTGCACTCGTGTGACATTTGATTTATTGTTTACTTGAGATCAGTGTCTAAAAAAACACCATTGATTGTTTTTATAGACTGAAACGTATTTATGGGAGTGATCTCTGCTGTTTATCCTGTGGCTATAAATAAATGTTATATTGTGTGTGTGTATATATATATATATATATATATATATATATATATATATATTTTTTTTTTTTTTTTTTTTTTTTTTTTTTATGAATGTTGTATTGTATATATGCAGTTGAACTCAGAATTATTAGCCCCCTTTAAAAATTTCTTTCTCTTTTAAATATTTTACAAATTATGTTTAACAGAGCAAGGCAATTTTTTACAGTATGTCTAATAATATTTTTTCTTTTGTAAAAAGTTTCATTTGTTTAATTTTGGCTAAAATAAAAGCAGTTTAAACTTTTTTGAACACCATTTTAAGGATAAAATTATTAGCACATTTAAGCGATATATGTTTTTGATAGTCTACAGAACAAACTATCGGTATACAATAACCTTCATAATTACCCTAATTAACCTAGTTAAGCCTTTAAATGTCACTTTAGTGTATAGAAGTGTCTGGAAAAATATCGAATCTTATATTATTTACTGCCATCATGGTAAAGCTAAAATAAATCAGTTATTAGAAATGAGTTATTAAAACTATTATGTTTAGAAATATGTTGAGAAAATGTCTCTATCAAACAGAAATTGGGGGAAAAAATAATAATGGAGCAAAGTTCTGACTTAAACTGTATATATAAACATATTTTAACTTAAAATCTGCTTTTTGTATTTTTACCTTCACCACTGTTGCATTTAAAAAATAATCAAAAAAGTAATATTTTGAAATATTTTATGATTTTACATTTTCTATTTTCATTCATTCATTTTCTTTTTGGTCCCTTTTCTTTTAAGTCCCTTTATTAATCCTGGGTCGCCACAGCAGAATGAACCCCCAACTTATTCAGCAGGTTTTTTTACGCAGCCGATGCCCTTCCAGCTGCAACCCATCTCTGGGAAAACGTTCTATTTTTAGACGTTTTAAATTTTATTATTTATTCCTATGATGGAAATTCTACATATTCAGCATTTGTAATTCTAGATCTTCCAGAAATCATTGTAATTGTAATTGGTTGATTTGAGTAGTTTAGATTAATTTTATTACATAAAAATATATTTTTTTCTGAAAAAATCTGCCATTTAAAAAAAAAAAAAAAACATTTGTTCAACGGAAGAAAGAAACTCAAATGAGCTTTTGGGTTAACTATCCATTTAGGTGTGGGCAGCAAGAAACTACAGCGAGAAAACAAAGAGGTAGTAAAGCAATAAATTTATATGGCAAATGGATAAATTAATACACAGAAAACTGCAACATAAATGAGAGAAACAAATGCTGCAAGAAGAATAAATAACCTAAAATCAACCTTTTAAAAAAATGTTTAGGCATCTGAAAATAGTGTATTGGTGCCTACAGAGAATCAATATCCTATCGTATAACTATTATATTTTGAGCACTTTTGATTTAAAAAACAGAGCTAATACAGTTTCTCTTCTATATAATGTTGGTGTCAATGATGATTACTCATAGGGCAGATTCTGAGTGGGGGAACATCTCTCACCTGATCTCAAAATTGAGTTTCTAGTCTGAGAACACCAATCAACACAGGTGACTTGTTTTTGCTCTTAGGGTTGGGTTTGTTTCAGAGCTCAGTGTGTCTGTGTTTCAGCGATCATCTGGCAGTTTCTGGACTGCATGCAAGACGAACTTCCTTCAGCAGTGGGACAAAGCAGGGCTTGGATCTGATGGGGAAGGATGAGACAGAGAATGAAACTGACAGGGATATTGAGCTGGAGCTGTCTGCTTTGGACATCGAGGACACAGAGACACACGACTGCAACTCGGAGGTGACTTTTACACTGTTTTTTTTTTTTTGGCTTGTTAAAAACTTCTAACCACCCAATTCAGACATTCATACATAAATGTAACTAGCAAAGATTAGTAACTGATCAAGAAAAAAAGATAACATGTTAAATTCTGCTAACAACATGCTAAAACATGTTAATCCTTAATCCTTATCCTTAATAAACATATACCCATGCTAGAAACCCATGCTGTTGGAGAGATCATATTTGAATGCTGAAAACATGAATGTCACCAGTCATATTTACGAGTGGGAAACTCTTAATTATTTTTGTCAAGGTTTTCTTTCAACGCTGTAGGCTACATTATTTTTTGGTGTCAATGATGATTACTCATAGGGCAGATTCTGAGTGCGAGAACATCTCTCACCTGATCTCAAAATTGAGTTTCTAGTCTGAGAACACCAAAGATAATGAAGAGCAACATACTAATTCATGTTAGTGACATTTGTGTTAGAGACCCTTTAACATGCTAGAAGAATGCTAATCCTAGTTAGATGCATTGCTATGAACATTTTAATTCATGCTAGAAAACGCATTACCATTCTTACTGGCAACATGTTAATTAATGATAGAAACAGCCTATGCTAGCAATATTCTCATTTTTATATAAACATTTGAATAATTAATCAATAATTCAATTAGAAACATACTAGCCACATAACATTCTGTGCTAGCAATATGTTAATTCATGTTAGCAATAGCAACATATTAATTCCCACTAGAAACTTGCTACTTCAATATGGAAGGTAACATGCTAAATACTACTAGTAAGAAGCCAGTTGATGCAAGAAACATGCTAACAACATGATAATTTATGCTAAATGCTAATGTATTTTCAATAAGAAACATGCTAGCAACATACTACCCCATGCTAGTGATATGTTAACTCATGTTAGCAACATGCTAATTGCTGCTAGATACTTGCTAATTCAGTATAGAAGGTAACATGTTAAATCCTTCTAGTAAGATGCCAGTTCATGCAAGAAACATGCTAACAACATGATGATTTATGCTAGATGCTAACGTATTTTCAATAACAAACATGCTAGTAATATGTTAATTCATATTAGCAACATGCTAGCAACATATTATCCCATGCTACAAATATGTTTATTCACGTTAGCAACATAATTGCCACTAGAAACTTGCCAAGTTATAATAGTAGGTAACATGCTAAATCCTACCAGTAATATGCCTGTTAATGCATGAAACGTGCTAACGACGTGATAATTAATGCTAGATGCTAATGTATTTTTTAATAAGAAACATGCTTGCAATATACTATCTCATGCTAGCAATATGTTAATTAATGTTAGCAACATGTTAATTGATACTAGAAACTTGTTAATTCATTATAGAAGGTAACATGCTAAATCCTGCTAGCAAGATGCCTGTTAATGCATGAAACATGCTAACAACATACTTTATGCTACATACTAATGCATTTTAGTAACATGTTAGATACATGAAAAATATGATAATTCATGTTCACAAAATGCAAACATCTTTTTTCATGTTGAATGCATGCTACCAACAAGCTAATATATGCTACTAGCATACCAATACATGCTAGAAACATGAACCATTTTAACATGTTAGTACTCGTTGAACATTCTAGAAATTCATGCTCACAATTGTGATACGCTAGCTTATGTTTAGTCAAGTCTTTGTACAAGTTTGACATGAAACATTACTCATTTAGTTCTTTTAATAATCTATAGGACACAATGGAAATGCAAAGCCGCTCCCAAAGCAGCCACCTCTCTACAGTCTTTAGTGATCCAGCATCCAGTTCACAGTTAGAAAATGACCTGCCTGACAGAATGGATGCTAACCTTATGAAAAAAATGGCATTCAGGTGAGCAGAGCTTTGTTTGACATTACAGATTAAATTGGTTTGGTTTTCAAATGCCTGTTTTTAGCGCTGACTGCTTGTCATTTTACAAGCGATGAAATCAGATGGGTTTGTAGTTAGTATCCTGGGAATCTGTTATGGTTGATGTAGTAATAAGTAAATATAAGCATTAGCATAGCCTAATGTCAAAATACATTTTTCATTTGACTGTCACCCATATCAGTGTGACAGCTAGAAATAAAATATTGAGCTGTTTTTTCACTCTTAAAGATATAGTTTTTTTTTTCATGCTTAATGCAGCTGGGTTATCCTAAAATTAAATTTCAATGTGTTATTTAATTTTAGTTTATCTATTTTTGTCTGTTCAGTGATTTCAGAGGTAACATTGAATCTTACACCAAAAGTCTTGAAGAATAGGGCAACGCATAACTATGAAGCAAGGTCCTCTCGGCTGTTTTTTGTATTTGACATTGGGGATAGATTTGTTTTAGAAAACTGCAATCTATTCTGGATTTTGAACAGAATCAAGCAGTGTCTAGAGTTTGTAACACCAGATAGCATATTATCATTTCACTTTCAAAAATAATACCAAGTGTGTAGGTGGGTGGGTGTGGGTGAGTGTAGGTGAGTGTGGGTGTGTGTGGGTGTGTGTATGTATGTTTGTATATGTGTGTATATACAGTGAGGTCAATAAGTATTTGATCACCCTATGATTTTTCAAGATCTCTTGCTTAGAAACCATGGAGGGGTCTAGAATTTTCACCATAGGTGCATTTACACTGTGAGAGACAAAACCTAAAAATAAAAATCTGGAAATCACATTGTATGACTTTTTAACAAATTATTTGTAAATTACAGTGTCAAATAATTATTAGATCACTTGATTTTCAGCCAGATTTCTGACCCTCAAAGATCTGTTATTTTGATTTTAAATAGTCCAGCTACACTCTGCTCATGATTCTAATTTAGTAGCACCTGTTTGAGGTTGTTAGCTGTCATAAAAACACCTGTGCGCCCCACAATCAGTCAAAAGTGTAAGTAGCAACATGGGAAAAACTAAAGAGCTGTCAAAAGACACAAGACAAAATTGTAGACCTTCACAAAGCTGGAAAGGGCGAAGGGGCAATTGCCAAGAAGCTTGGTGAAAAAAAGAACAACTGTTGGAGCAATTGCCAAAGTTGAAGAGGCTAATGATGACTGTCAATGTCCTTTGGACTGGGGCCTCACGAAAGATCTCTCCTTGTGGGTTATCAATGATGCAAGGGTCAAGAAGCAGCCCAAAACTACACCAGAGGTGGTCAATGCCGTGAAGAGAGCTGGGACCACTTTTTCCCAAGGCTATCATCAGTACTACACTAAGACGTCATAGTTTGAAGTCATGCATCGCATGGAAGGTTCCCCTGATTAAGTCAGCCCATGTCAAGGCCCATCTGAAGTCTCCCAGAGACCTGTGGTCAGATGAGACCGAAGTAGAACTTTTTGGTCTTCAATCACCGTGTTTGGAGGAAGAAGAATGATGAGTATCATCCCTATAATATCATACCTACAATGAAGCATGGGGCTGGAAGTATCATGCTCTGGGGGTTTTGTTCTGCACAGGGGACAGGACGACTGCACTGTATTAAGGAGAGGATGATTGGGGCCATGTATTGTGAGATATTGGGCAAAAACCTCCTTCCCTCAGTCAGAAGGACAATGACCCAAAGCACACAGTCGGGAAAACCAAAGAGTAGCTCCGTAAGAAGCATATCAAGGTTAAATCCCAAAGACCTAATGTTTGTTGAGTCACAACTCCACCTCAGGTAACTCTTGATGTCAGCCAATCAGAACTTGGTCCAAGCCAGGAAAACAATTTCCCATGTTCCCTAATTCTGTACAAAAGTAACGGTTTTCACTAGTTTTTAGCACACTGAGGGAACTATAATCTACGGTATTATGACTATATAGCGGAATCTTCCAATATATATCACGAAGACCATGGTGCTTGGAATCTGTAGTTCTTGCATTATTGTTAATATTACCGCAGTGTTAGCCACTGAAATGTTATGTGCATGAATTGTTTGTTGGGGATCATTGTTTGAAACAGTCATTCATTGACCATTGTTTAAATGTAGAAAATCTTGGGAGGGAGCCAAAACTCTTGCTCAGCAACAGCCCAGAAACCTGACAGATCTAGAGAATATCTTTATGGAGGAGTGGGCCAAAATCCCTCCTGCATTGTGTGCAAACTAGGTGAAGAACTACAGAAACCATTTGACCTCTGTAATTGTAACAAAGGCTTCTGTACCAAATATTAACCATTTTTGACTCAAGTGATCAAATACTTATTTGACATAGTAATTTACAAAAAAATTGTTAAATCATACTATGTGATTTCTGGATTCTGGACAGTGGAAATGCACCTAAACTGAAAAATCTAGACTCCTCCATGATTTCTAAGTAGGAGTTCTTAAAAAAACACAGGGTGATAAAATACTTATTGACCTCACTGTGTATAGGTTATTATATATATATATATATATATATATATTTCACTTATGATAACTTTGTGACGTTACAGAAACACCCTCTCACCTGGAGGTCTGAGTATGAGGAAGATACCGATAAGAACGTGTTCACCCAGGCTTGGAGATTCCCGGCGCCCCAGTCCAGGACCTGAAATGCTGCTAAATGGTACCTGAATTGGGGTGGACGGAACATCCCTCCTTGTCTTCTAATGCCATGGGGTCATGCCAAGAATCCACCATCCTCCTTAGGTAGAAGGTAGAGTTGTCCTTATAGGAGTCAATCAAGGCAGCGAGTCGCAGCCAAAAAAGCCTTCTGTATTTATGTGTTCTCTTCATAAGAGCTAGCTATGCCCTGTAATTGTAATCACTCATCATCTGTTCGGAGTTGGTTTGTTTTTCTTAATCACTGCTTGTGGATGAATGTTCATGTTGAGTCACAACTCCACCTCAGGTAACTCTTGATGTCAGCCAATCAGAACTTGGTCCAAGCCAGGAAAACAATTTCCCATGTTCCCTAATTCTGTACAAAAGTGACGGTTTTCACTAGCTTTTAGCACACTGAGGAAACTATAATCTACGGTATTATGACTATATAGCGGAATCTTCCAATATATATCACGAATAACCATGGTGCTTGGAATCTGTAGTTCTTGCATTATTGTTAATATTACCGCAGTGTTAGCCACTGAAATGTTATGTGCATGAATTGTTTGTTGGGGATCATTGTTTGAAACATTCATTGACCGTTGTTTAAATGTGTTTGTGTGTGTATGTGTGTATGGATTGTGGTAGATGTCTAATATCTCTAAGAGACATTTTACAGGCAGTCAGTCAAAACGTGTTTTCTTCACAAACTAAAGTGAAACAGTTCGTTAAAAAATGAAAATTCTTTACTTTAGTCATTCCAAACTTATGATCCTGTGAAGTGGCCCAATGTGCCATTTCCAAACGTTATGAAGTTCTTTGTGAGGAATTTAAGTCAAGACCCTAAAAATCTTTCATTGTAGCTGTGAAATCTGTTGTGTTCATCTGTTCAAATTCAGATGTTTATTATCAAAAACTCATCAAAACTTATTGCATCAATTTTGTTGTCATTACTTATTTAGTCATACTCCACGTGTTCCAAACCTGTTTGAGTTCCATTCTTCTGTTGTGCACAAAGAAAGATCTACTCAATTCTTGGGGAAAATAAGCCAGCCTTTGACTTGAGTAAAGGGAAAGAATATTCATTTTTGAGTGAATCGTCCTTTTAAGTTAAGACTCAAAAGTGAAACAAGTGTTGAGTTGGGACAGAGACCAGTCGAGACTAAGACGTTCTGAGACACAATTTTTGAGTCAAGAATGTGACCAGAAGAGAGACTTGTTTTGAGTCAAGATAACCAGCATATGCATCAGGCTAAAGCAGTGGTTTTAAACCATCTGCCACATTCTGTCTTTATATTTTGCACTCAAAAGTGCTGTGAGTGATGGCATTTTGGATTTTGTCTTTCCAATGTAGTGGTTCTTGTAAAACACTTCTCAAAATACCTTAAATGGATACGGAAAAAAAAAATCAAACTCGTTATAAAAAGTTAGATAAATTAAAGTTTCTGAGGCAAAATACGATTTACATAACATAAGGTTGAATATTGCAGTTTATTATTGAATAGTGCAATAAACTTTAGACAAGACATTTTGACTAGTCTTGAGTGATAACAAATACCGGATGAGTCTTAAGGTGCATCCCAGATGATTTATATTGCCCTCCAAAGGGCACTTCATAGTGAAAAAAAACAAGGCCGCCATTATGAGGTTTCATTTCAAACTGAAAATGATCAAACCTGGAATAATGTTTTCAGAGGGACCCTCCATATGATGAACCTTTCACAATGGAAGCCCCTCTCAGTCAAGACCAAGATCAGAAGAGGGACTTGTCTTGAGTCAAGACAACCAGCATACACATTAGGATAAAGCAATGGTTTTCAACCATCTGACACATTCTGTCTTTATATTTTGCACTCAAAAGTGCTGTAAGTGATGGCATTTTGGATTTTGTCATTTCAATTTAGTGGTTCTTGTCAAAACACTTCTCAAAATGCTCTCTACGGATATGAAAAACTAAAAATCAAACCATTTCTGACTATTTTGGACTGTTTTGTGTGCAATGAACTTTAGACAAGAAGTTTTGACTAGTCTTGAGTCATAACAAAGACTGGATGAGTCTTAAGGTGCATTCTTGACGAGATCTATTGCCCTTCAAAGGGCAATAAATGTAATAAAATCAAGGCAGCCATATTGAAGTTTAATTTCAAACCGAAATGGTCAAAACTGGCCTAATCCCTTGGGCTGGGCAATTAATCGAAAAGTAATCAAAATCGACTTTCAGAACCTATAATCAATCAAATTTTTCAAGGACGATTTTTTCAATTACTTTCCCTACGTGGCCCACTTTGTTAAAGGTTGTGGCTGATTTATACTTCTGCGGCCACTTTGCAACCACATCTGATCTCTGGTCAAGTAGGACGATGAATTC